GGTGTGTGTGTGTGTGTGTGTCTGTGTGTGTCTGTGTGTGTGTCTGTGTGTGTGTGTTTGTGTGTGTGTGTGTCTGCGCGTGACGGCGCGCGTGCAGGCGCGCGGGAGTTTTGTGGGGGTGTGGGCGCGTGGGCGTGTGGGCGTGCACGTGTGGGAGGGTGCACGTGGGCGTGTGGGCGTGCGAGCGTGTGAGCGTGTAAGCGTGTAAGTGTGTGTGTGTGCGTGTGTGCGTGTGTGTGTGTGTGCGCGTTTGTGTGCGTGTGGGTGTGTGTGTGTGTGTGGGTGTGGGTGTGTGGGTGTGGGTGTTGGTGTGTGTGTGTGTGTGTGTGTGCGTGTGCGTGTGGGTGGGTACGTGTTTGCGTGCGTGCGTGCGTTAGTGCGTGCGTGCGTGCGTGTGCGTGCATGCGTGTGCGCGTGTGCGAACGCGTGTCGGTTTTGTGCGCGTGATCTGTTTTGTGTTTTGCGCGTTATTTCGCGGTTTTGCGATTTTGTGTGAAGCACTGTACTGTCGACGCGCCTGCTCGTATTGGTCCACTGCCCTTTGCAGAGAGCCTGTGCCTGATAGCTCCTCCGCTGCGCGGATGTGGCCTCTGTAGCCGGCGTTTTCGAAGCAAGCCACTGCATCGTCTTGCTGGCCGAAGCTGACAAAAGCTTCGCCAGCCTGGCAGAGTTGCGAGCGGAATGACCACATCACCCCTTTACATAGAACACCCACGAACCGCTGAACATCGCCTTGTCAATCGTGGTTTCCCTTTATTTTGGTGGAAAAAGCCATGTTTCAAACGGGTAAGGAGCATAGGTGGCCTTTTTGTAAAAGAAAAGGAAAATAGATGGCACTGGTGTAGTGTGGGGCGCCTCCTCATGAACCGCGCAAGGCAACGACGAACAGGTAGCAGACAGAGACACACACACACACACACGCACAAACACACGCATGAAGCAACACCATGAACCAGATGACCACACAAGACTGCTAGACGTGGCTGGTTGGTGAATCAGAGTGACCTCCATGTAAAAAAAAAGTGTACGGGCCAAGCATCTCAAAAGCTGTCAGGTAAAGCCACCGAGCAAAAGGAAGGCTGAGGCAAAAGGAGCCCCGCAGAGCCCGCAAGAAGCGCACCGGCTGCAAGATGCTGAGATGTATAACCAAAGTCTTGGGTTGAGAAGCAATCTCCACAGGTGTTTGGTTTCGGCGTTGGCCTGGGCAGCTTCAATTGCAGTGCTGCCCGCTTCCAGCACACGCAGCGCGACCCCGACAATGAAAGAGAGCTCTGTTTTCAACCATGTCCTTCCGCTGAGCGTGGTCAGTCGCAACCAGGGCAAGCGGCTTAAACTAGCCCAGGCGCGGGTTTGAGCTGAGGCAAGCCACGGCAAGCCAACCATTGGCAGGGCCGCCCAGCGGCTGCGACTACATGCAATTCCAACCTCTTAACACGATGACCACGTACACTGCTACAAGCGAACCGCAACAATTTGTTGTGGTTCTTTTTACGGCCATGGAGATGGCAAGAGAGTAAAGCGAATACCTTGGTCGAGGCATACAGCGAACTGCGAAGGCAGTCGAACTACATCTGGCCGCAGGTTGTTGCAGCTGAGGCAAGCACGGGCCCGGCCAGCTCGGAGGAAACCACGGCATCAAGGGGTGCTTTTATCGAAATGTGCAGCGCCAGGCACAAAAGCGAACCGCAACCGCTGCGGTTCGGAGATCTCTGGCTTGCAAGTTCTCCCTGCGCACCCCGTATCATGGCGCAGCGACCAAAAGTAGGCAACCTGCGATGTTTCTGCCAGCCAATGTAGATGCTGGGGCCGGGAAGGGACCCAAATCCGGGACCTGGAATTGAATCCGGGACGAGATCCAGATCCGGGACCTGGATTGGGGACCCGGATTTGTGGGACCACCCAGCGACTCGGAATGAACCCGGGAGGGGACCCGAATCTGAACCGCTTTAGAAGCAAAAAGCAGCGGAGGCAGCTACAGCGGGCAATTGTGACCTCTACAAACCCTTATACTACTGTACCATGCTTCCATTAAACTCAAGGCAGCCTTCAAAAAGCAGTGCCCTGTGTTAGTATGAAAGCGCAGACTAAAAAGGACACCTATGGTAAGGAGCCCTGCCCAAGGGCCGAGGGAACAGATGACGGCTAGCCTTCATAAAGAAGTCGCGACTTGCTGTCAACTCTTCCGACTCTGTCGCGGCAGCTCGCCACAGTTCAGCCGCCTCCTTGTGCAGGCCGACCTGCCTCCAACAACAGGCCACCTGGCCTTTGATTGCAGGGCCCCCTTCCTGCGCCACGCGAGTCGCTTCTGCAACTAGCTCCATTGAAGCCGGCCCTCTCTTGTATTCCTGCTCCTTGATCTCATCAGGATCCTTCCTGCGGAGCTCGCATAAAGCCTCATAGCCCTGCTTGCGCCCTGACTGCTTGAGCCACTCCGTGGTCAGCTCTGCTGATCTTGGCTGCTTCCAACAGATGTCGCACATGACGACGACACACTGCGCCGCCTTCCTTGCACTTTGCAGCTGGCTGGCAAAGAGCATGCCAGCCTGGATGAAATTCCCTCCCTCAAGCCACGCGCCAGCGGCATCCTTGAACCGCCCCACCGCCAGGAAAAGCGTGGCTGCGGTCGCCATCTCTCCAGCCTTCAAGAAGCAGTCTGCCGCCTCCCTGTTTTCGCCCAGCGCCTGAAAGAGCTGGCCTGCCTGCCTCCAAAGCCCCAAGTCGTCCTTAGCCTCCGCTTCCTGTCTCATAAGGAAGGCCTCGCACCTCTGCACACCCTGGACATTGCCAGAGAGGTGGAAGCATTGCAAGGCTTGCTTGAAGTTCTGGGCGCGCATGAAGTCACAGCCTCCTCATGGCAGAAATATGCTGCAACCGGATCATTGAAGTCCACTCTAGCAAACAAACACTCAGACTAGAAGCGTCATGTCAGATGGAAAGGCGCTGGCGCAACAACGGTAGCTCCACTTCCAGTGTCGGCAAGCCGCCAATCTAGCCGAGCGTCGTTGGTCCCACTGCTCGGAAGTCTGCTGCTGTTGCGCGCGGGCTGCCAGCTCTTGCACTGCTTCCTCCGTCATCTGTCCCATGGTGTCCCTCAGCTTGCTTTGGACATCAGATTGGCAGATTGGCAACTCTCAGACTCCCGTTGCTTGCTTTTGCTACCACTTCTTGGAGGCCCTAACCAAGAGCCGAGCCTTTTCTTTTAATTCTACTGAATCAGCACAGGCTCCCCAGGTGCTCTATCACGGCTGTTGCAGAGCTGCTGTCGTCATAAAACAGCAATCTCTTCTTGGCTCGCGTCATAGCCACATAGAACCTACAGGGTCGCACAGTAGAACCATGTTGCAAGCGCTCAGATCACTTGGTCCTTAGCCAAACCCTAGTAGGCATCTGAAGCTACAACTGGTGCCTCTTCAGCTCCATGCAGGCCAAGCCATCCTGATTCTCAAACACATGATGCTTGTCACGGCCCGCTGCAGCTCTCCGCATCAACCGGCTCCACTCGGAATACTGCGAATCCTCAGATTAAGGCGAAGATGTCGCCGAAAGCAACGCTCAGACTGAGGCAATGTCTTGAAAGAAGCGGGCCACGATGACATCATCAAACTCCAGGCCTTTGGCCTCCACCTAGACGGGTGCCATGACTCACAGTCGGAATTCGGAAAGTATCTCACGGCCTGCATCCTGCCTCATTCATCAAAGTGCCCAGCTGATCCATGGTAATAACATTACCAATTTCCATGTCTGCCACCTGCACACAGCGCCAGAAGCAGCCTACCACAACAGCGTTCAAGTAAGCACCATGCGTTCCGCGTGCCTCGCGCAGCTGCCGTTTGGCTTCTTCAGTGCGCACCAAGATCATCTGGTGCGCGCCCAGCAAACAGCGCGAGGAGCTTCGCGACAACTCGCGGAAGATGCGCCGCAAACCCTCGAGGCCGATGCGCTCTGGTTGCGGCCCTCGGTTTTGGCCCATGGCAGGATCAAGTCGATCGATGGTTTTCGGGTACAAAATCTCCAGCAGCTTAACGATTTTGTTGGCGGCCTGCCGGAAAATCTTCAGCTGCGCAAACAAAAAAAAGCCACGTGCACAACACATATATGATCATATATGAAAGGCATCAAAAAATAAAACAATCGCGCGCAGAGATGAGAAAGCCCAGGCCTGCACAATGCCATCGTGAGAGCGATAATTGATCAACAAGGACTTCAACTTCGGCGGCTGCTCTTCTAAGACCTGTGTGAAGCAGCTGATCAGGTCCTGGAACCGGAAGTCTGTCTCCGTGGAGACGGTCTGGCAGGTGTCTCCCACAAAGATCAGGTTCTCTGGGCTTTTGACCACCTGCATAATCAGCACTGCCTCCACCTGGCTCAAGTCTTGGGCCTCATCCACACAGGTGTCATCCAAACGCGGGCCATGATAGCCATGCCGCCCCAAACGTCTCAGAAGATCCACGGCAAGGTCCATGCGGTCAAATCCTCCCAAGCGCTTCTTATGAATCTCGTACTGCCGGAACAGTGCGTAGGCCTCCTCCTAGCGAGGCAGAGAAGGTTTTGCGCATCTCAGAACAATCGGAACTGAACAGAACCTCCCTTCCGCCCTCCTCGCGGCCATCCATTGCCCAATTCATCTTCTTGCCGATCTCCGTGAAGTACTGCACTTCTGACAGGTAGCCGTGCTCTGTCTCGATCACCAGGCGATGGCCTTTGATGAATGTCCTGGCCAAGGTTCTCAGGCATCATGGCCAGCCAACACATGCACCAGAAAACATTAACACCCACCGATGAAGCCGTTTTTGCCCAGGGGCTGTATCTCTCGCCATAGGACCTCAGCTGTTAGGGATGTGCGTTTCATCGTGCGCATAATGTGCTGGCGGAAGATGTTGAAGTCGATTTCCTGCGCGGGATCACCGCTAATTAAGCCACTCTTTGGCCCCACTGAGAGGTCCACCTGCCGTGTCCCCGTCCCATGTCACAGTCAGTTTTTACACCTCGCTGGACAGTCATGTGAACAAATCGTGGGTGTCAAGGGCAACTTGACCTCTCATGCAACAGCGTGGCGACTGCATACTGGAAGGCCCACCTCAACCACTACTATCAAACAAAGTGCTAAAACCAGCGACAGTACCTTGAGAAGCAGGGCATTGATGCATGCCCTGGCCATGCTTGTCGGTGTGAAACAACCCTTTGAACACTTTTCACCAGCAGTCCGCACTTCACCCGTCAGCGCCCAATAAAAACAACAATTCTCAAAGACAGTCCCGTGCGCCCACGCATGAGTCACGTGACACCTGCAAGCACACAATGCATACCCGGCCTGCAAATGGTCGCGAGCGATCCCACCCGTCTGAAACCGCCCAGTCGTGGTGAAGGTGACAAGGTTCGAATCGATTTTGCCGCATGGCAATCTGGGGAAGAAGGGCGTGCCGCCGATGCTCGCATCGAGCATGCGCATCAGCTTTGCAAAGGTCACGAAGAGCGGGAAGGACCTCAATGCAAGCAGCACGGCATGGCAAACGCATGGCATTTGCAACGCGGCAAAGCGGCAAGTCCCCCGTTGCTTTCACGGCCCACTTATGTCAAGCCGCTCCTGCGGCGTCTCGCCCAAGCTGTCCGGAAGATCTTCTTCGACGACTCCCGGGACTGCACCGGGAAGCCCGCTGGCCACAGCCCGCCTCTCGAAGTTGGAGCGCACATTCTCCGCCAGCGCCGGCGACAGAGTCACAAAGACCTGCCGCGGCAGCTCGCTTTCAGCCCCGTCTCCTGGCAGTGATTGGCCATGGCTTCATAGGATGATGCTGGATGATGTTTCACCGATGTTCACGCGTGCAAAAGCGGGGAGGCCCAAAAGGCGCCCAAGGCGACAAAGGAAAGCAAGCGAGTCGCCAGGCTCGTCCTTGCCGGCTGATGTAGACCCACTTCCTGTGGGTGAGCCAGATCCTCTCGAGGCAGCACAGAGTTTTGCCGCTGCCACTTCGCCCCACCACCACCAAAGGGCCAGGGCTTGCCACGAGCTCAGCCTCATGTGGGCTGATTTGGAAGGAGAAGTCGACCCCGCCGCTCCACGCCTGCCTGTCGGGACAAATCGCCTTGGCTCTGGGCGCTTCAGCTTTCCTAGGCAAAGTTCTTGGATCACGGGGCCACTTGCCTTCTTGCCTGTTACACGGCTTTCGATCTGCCAGCCTTCTCCGTGTCGCTGATCCAGGTCTCCATTTCGGGGGACAGCCGGAAGAACTTCTGCAGCTGAAACACATCCCGCTCCCCCAGATCCTCACGCCAATGCGGGAAACAAAGGCTGTCAGCAAGCGCAACACAAGAATAGAAAAGCAGAGCAGCCAGCGTCCTGGAAACACAACTGTCGTGGCCACTCTCTCTTGCCTTCGACATGCCTCTTCTTGGAAAGTTTTTCTCGCAGTCGCCCATAGCTCCTGGAATGGAAGCGTCAAGCGGCGCCAAGCAAGAGCACATGCAAGACAAAGAGTCAAGGCCCGCTGGCACGCGTGAAACTTAGCACCACAACAGGTATCGGAATCGCGGATCGGTGGGCAATATCTAGACTACTGTGGTCCTGTTGGATTCGAGCCACACTTTGACCACCTCAGCGGCCGCTTTCTTTGCAGATGCTTCGTCTGACTCAAAGAACCAGATCTCCAGCACTTCGAGGTACTTCAACTGCTCGATATCTACAACTATTTCCGGCTTCCAACCAAAGATGCCAGACTCGCAGTCGGCGCGCAAAAGGCACATGCCTGTGCCTTTTGCGTCTTTGGCCAGCTTTTGGTCTGCTTGCCATGGGGAATTCAGATACCCGTCCGCCAGCCGCTTGATGGTGGCAAGCGCATCGGCTTGCTTGGCCGCCGACAAGGTCTTCAGGGACTTGACGCATTCCTCTGAAAGACACACTTGCCAAAGGCAGTCTCGTAGACCGCTGGCCTTGGGTTCATGGAAGAAGCCATGCTCCCATGAGACAACGCAAGACCAAGCAAGCAAAATACTGTAAATCAACATTAAAAACTTTGTGCCAAAAACGCCTGTCAGAGTTGCAATGCCATCATCAGCAGCAACTCCCTCCATGGCAAGGTCACCCAAACGGGTATGCGTAGTGAAACCATCTGCCTAAGCTGCTTGAGCCAAAACCATGGAAACTCTTGATCAAGGCTTTTGCTCATTTTGCTTCCACTGCTCAGGTATCCTCCTTCTTCTGCTTCTCGTCAAAATTTGTGCAACCACACCGCTGAGTGTGCGAGGACCCCCTTGAACTTGAAAATCCTGGGCCACGGTGTGATAACACGCAAGTTCCAGGGCTACCTCGAAAAGGCCGCGGTGCAAATGACTCAATGTTCGGCAAAACTTGGGGAGTCTGTTTCCGTTGCTGCGGCTACGGTGGTTGCTGTGGGTATCGCGGTTGCGCTTGTGGCTGCCGTCGCAGCTGCTGCTGCCGTTCTTCCGGTTGAGCTGCCATGATGGCTACCAGTTGCACAATGCTAGGTCAATCGGTGGCCAGGAGTTGACTGCTGCTGATTCAAATCATCTGATCTACTGCCTTTCTGTGCCGTGGCTGCCCTTCTGTTGAACCAAATAATTAGGAGTGCTTGCTTGGTTTGCACAGCCCTTGGTTGCCCTTCAGGGCTTTGCAAAGCCCAAGGCTGCCGCTGCAGTTGCCCCTCGCTCCATTTTCCCTGGCTCCGAACTTCCAGAGGATCCATCACCTGTGCGACACAAGGAAGCACCAAGCCCATCAAATCACAATGAAAGCACTCGAAAAAAGAACTGGTGGCAAAGTTGAAATCAATGTTGAAACACAATGGAATCACAATGAATGTTGAAGCTTGTTGCAAAAAGTTCGGTGGCTTACTTACTTCAGATGGCCAAGGTCAATTTTCCCGCCTCAGCTCGCGTAGCTCTGCACGGTCCAGGTGCTTCAAGGAGCGGTGCTCTGCTGGGCTGATGCCCTCAGCGAAGGAAACATGCGATGCCCAGACTGCACGTTCAACGGCGACCTGCAGTGAAGCCAAGTGAGTGCCCTTGACCAGCCTGACCCATAGACAGGGCTCCCTATATTTCCTTTCAAAACAGAACCCCAACTCACCTTCAACGGGCCAAAGGGTGATGTTTAAAAACTACCAAAATGGGAAATATAGGGACCCCTGGTAGAATGCCATGGCAACGCAACATTCTTTGCAAGCCTTGTCTTTAAAAAACGGCCGTCCACAGACGAGCTTCAACAAAAGCGCGCGCCTTGAAGGCGGTCTGGAGGATTTGCAAGGCGTCGCCATGGGACACCAAGACCTGCGGATTTCCACGCGCGAGTCCGGGAGCTGCGCGAGTCGCCGTCCAACCGCTTCGCTCGCTCTCGGCGGCACCACGTCTGCTCCCTCCGGCAGCTCCTTGTCAAGCCTGGCGCGGAGCGCGCGGACCCGGCGGAGCATGGCGGAGCTTCTAAAACTTCCGCCCCGCTCCGCGAAAGCGACAAACAAAAAACAAAAACGCCCGGGGATCAAGCTGACACAGGCCGCAAACATCCACGAGCACATGGGACCAAATGGCATGTCCTTTCCAGTTGCTTTTTGTCTGCTGACCCGCCTGGCCACCAATCTTGTGGTGCGTTGCTGAACCGCCTCGCACTGCAAAACACCACTTCACCCCAGGTTTACCACCCCCCAAGTGAATCGAAGTGTGCATTGCAAGGAATTAAAAAACAAAAGCTCACTCATAGCTGTGTTTTGGGTAAGACTTCCGGCTGAAATGAACATTTTTGTTTTCCCTGGTCAATTTTACGCGGATCCGGGTCTCAGCTACCAGCTTCGCGCCCGCGCGCCTCGGCGCTCTCTGCGCCGAAGGCCCGCGATTTCGGATCACGCACATCTTTCACCCAGACCTGCGCGCAGCAGGCAGCACGCAGCTCGTGCAAATCCCATGCCTATAAGCCTCACGAAACGGTGCTGCCGCCAATTCTCGAGCATAAGGCGTTCTTTTGATAAATCTGCAGTGGGATTTATACAAACCACTGGTTTTCTTTTATTAACAAAAATAAGAACCCGTTGTGTTTTCGCTTTTCTTTAAGGTGCTTGATTGACCGGCGAGTCTTTGGGCGAGCTGTGGCACACGGGCCTCCTTATATCTGGAGTCTGGGCCTCCCTCCAACTTGCCAAAACGCCTCGGTACGGCGCGGAACCGGCGTCTGCAGCAATTTGTTGCCTGACGCCTCTCATGCCAAAAGGTGGCAAGTAGGTAACTTGCTGGTGCTCAAAAAGGAATGAGGGAATGACCCTTGTAATTGTTTGTGTTGTGGCTTCGTTTAAGGCTTCACTGATTCCCTACTGAGCACCGTCAAGTAGACACTTACGACCTCTATTACCCCAAGACGCCAAGCCATATGGCCATGGGTCAAAACCTCGTACTCACAGTGAACGTCCAAATCCCCATTAAAATCCGCCGACGCCAGTCGAGCGTGTAGATGGCAGTCCGCAACTTGGTCTTCCTTCGGATCGCCTCTCAAAGCCGAAAGCTTTTGGGACTGCTATTTTTTTGGCATGCTGTGCTAGGTGTCCAAACCTGTATTGAAATCGCTACGCGATCCGCCGACGAAACCGTTTTTCATTTTCGTGGAAGTTTGAAAGTGCCACAACAAGGCCTCCTTGGCACTTTCCTACTTTGCAGTCAGGAGACATGTCCCAGATGCTGAGGATGCTGGAAATGCAAGATATGCAACCACACAACGTACAGGCACAGACCCAATCTTCGCGCTCAAGATTTTAAGACTTTCAAACACGCAACATTGACCAAACACAGAAAATACCAGAGATGTGGGGAATGCTGGGAATGCAGCCGGCTAGCCACAAAAAAGTGCAAAAAATACAGGACTTGTCGATATTTCCAAAAATCAACCATCGAAAGCAGATACTAGCAACCCCTTCAAATACTCTGCTAATAGACTTCCAAAAGCACGATACTTCAGGGGATGTTTCGCAGTAACTGCTCCGTACAGGTGGGAATTGCAAAAAAGAATTGCAATCAACGTATCACTGCACTTGGCCCCACCCCTAACAGGCCAATTCCAACATCGCTTGAAACAGCAAAACACCATTAGCATCTGCAAGGCAACCCTGATGATGCTGGGGATGCAGATCCTGCGCGTCCGGGGAACCCCCCCCCCCCCCCAACCCGAACGCAGGTTTTCAGCAGGCAAGCCCCAAAAACACTGGACAGTTACAGGGTTGCACCCCGCTGGCGTCGGCGGATTGCGTAGCGAATTCAATACAGGTTTTGGACACCCAGCACACCATGCCCAAACAATGGCAGCCCCAAAAGCTTTCGGCTTTGATAAGAGATCCGAAGGAAGCGGACTGCCATCTACACACTCAACTGGCGTCGGCGGATTTTTCCAGTGTTTTTGAGTCTTTCGTGCGTTTCGCCTAGGTCTCTAGGGGAGGATCTGCATCATCAGGCTTTGTCTCCTTTTTTTGCAATTCCTCACCTGTACAGTTACTGCGAAACATCGCTGCAGTATCGTGCTTTTGGAAGTCTATTTGTAGAGTATTTGAAGGGGGTTGCTAGTATCTGCTTTCGATGGTTGATTTTTGGAAATATCGACAAGTCCTGTATTTTTTGCACTTTTTTGTGGCTAGCCGGCTGCATTCCCAGCATTCCCCACATCTCTGTTTTTTGTGTTTGGTCAATGTTGCGTGTTTGAAAGTCTTAAAATCTTGAGCGCGAAGATTGGGTCTGTGCCTGCAAGTTGTGTGGCTGCACCCCTTGCATTTCCAGCATCCTCAGCAACACGAAAAACAGGAAAGTGCCAAGAAGGCCTTGTTGCACTTACCAAAAGAATTGGGGCCTTGCTTTTATACCCTTTCGGGCGGTGGTTTAAAGAGTAGACCTAGTGTTCTTCTCCTATCACGTGTTCAGCCCTGCGGCCGAAGTCAGAGCGGCGTTGTTTGTCACCGAGGCAAAAAAACATGTTTTTCCTTACCCAGATTCAAGGCACCCTCTCCTTCCACGTGTTCAGGGTACCCAAATTCAAGGCACCCTCTCCTTCCACGTGTTCAGGGCCCTATGCGACCTAGGCAAAAAAAGTCTTTCGGCACCTCAGCGGGGCGTTGTTTGTTCTCCTTCCACAGCAACGTTGCTTGTTGAGCCACGTGACATCAGCCCCAGTTTATTAAAAGGGGACTGTCCACTGGCGTCGGCATTGCGTAGCGATTTCAATAGACTAAACTGGCTGGTGCACCAATCCCAAAATTGTACCTGGCCATATGAAGGACAAGGCGAAGGGGTCCCTAGTCCCAACCCATGCCTCTCCCTCAGCTCCTTTGCCACGCGCATAGGGCATATGTGCCCTGCCTGCGCACCGGCCAGGTTTCGTGGCAATGACAGGAGGTTGGCAAACAGCGTCTTTTGCACACTGATCTCCGGTTTGCATCTCCCACAGCCAACAAACAATTTCTGTTGCAGTTGAGGTCTCAAACTTGGCATGATGTTTCGAGTGCTTCTCGCAAACCCTGCCTTTCGCAAAGCTTTGGCAAAAAGCTGGGCTGTCTCCCTCGCGCGGGAGAAGTCGCTGCTCCTCTTGGCACATCGACATGGGTGCAAAATTGATTGATTGAGCTGCCCCGACTTTCTCCCCCCACCAGTTTGGGTGCATCTTTTTCTTGAGGGTACCCCTTCTTGGGTGATTTTCAACGACCACCACAAGGAAAACCCGCAGTTTGGGGGTCACTACAACCCAACGACGCCGCGTCTCAGGCGTCTCAGCGTCTCAGGCGTCTCAGGCCCGGGCACCACGACGATCCGCTTGGCGCCTTTCTTGTGGAAGGCCTTGCCCGTGCGGCTGGCCGCCAAGGAGCCTGGCAGCCCATGACTCGAGCTGAAATTCTCTAGGCATCCTTCTTTTCCAAAACCCCTTGGCAATTTCCCCAGGATTTTTTGTGAAACCCATCGCCATTTCCCCGGCTTTTTTGGAGATAAATTTCTAGAAAGGAGGAAAGAATGGGGAATAATCCTAGAATGACTGCCCCACAATCAAAACCGTTTTTTCTTTAGTTTGAATGATTCCTAAAGTACGCCCGTGCGATGCCGTGCTTCATCTGTTTATTTAGGGGTTGATTCCTTGTCCATTCCTTTCAGGCATGCTTCTTTTCTCAAAAACCGATCGCCATTTTCCCCTGACCCTTTGGATGGTTTGCTGAAAACAAGGATTCTTCTTTCTAGGGGTTTATTATTTTCTATTCTTTTCAGGCATCGTTCTTTTCCAGAACCTGCCATGTCCCCAGGGTTTTTGGTAGTTTTCTTTGGTTGAAGGATCCCTGGAAAGAATGGGGAAGGCACCCCTAGAAAGACTGCCCTGAACATCTGAGTCACAATCATTTGTTTGTTCGAATGGGAGGGCCAAAGCCAATGAAATTGTCCCTTGTCAACCTTCTACCTAACATCTTGAGATCAAAAATGGAGCCTTGGCCAATCCCAAATCCACACCCCGTTTTGGGAAGCCATAAAAAATGACAACTGTTGTAACTAATGGAAAGGATTCGGGACTGCCTCGAACAGCCCTCTGGCCTTGCGGCGTCAAGCCATACTTCTTCGTCGCGCCAACCTGGAGCGGGGCTCCCCGAAAAGACTTCAACATGCAACATCATGTTGACCCCGGATTCACAACCCGATGTTTGTTGATATGGGGGTGTGTGCCTGGTTTTAGTTGGAGGGGAGCACCCCCCCATAAATAGGGGGTCAACATCAGCTGCTGCGCAAAAAAACGCCAGCCTTGGGGTCTGAAATGATGATCTTCGCGGCATTGGCCTTCGACCTGAGGCGACTGATGGTGACTGACTCACCTGCCACGCCAACGCCCACGCGGCAGTTTTTCCCTAAATCCTCAGGCTGACGCTCCCCATGCCGCAGCCCGAAAAAGCGATGACACCTAGAGCCGCCAGGCCATGGATGCGCCCCCACCCCTTTCTGCGCCCAAGGCTCAGGCAAGGTCTGGGGAAGTAAATTGGACTTCCCTGAGCCCTGGCGCGCCCAAAAATTGACCTGGCCTCCACTGCTGCGCACTTCACACGCCTGCCTTCCTCACTGAAAGGCGGCGCATGCTTTCAGAATCAACGTGGCCAAAAGAAAACAAGGCGATGTCTCTTGACATTTCCCGACGTGGGGCGTTGGCAATGTCGCCACTACCGTGCTGGAAAACATGTTTAAATTCTCGAAATGGCTAGCGGCGGGCTGGATGGAGTCAAGACATGCATTCGCTGGACTCAAGAAACTCCCACGCCAAGCTGCTGAACCCTGAACGACATGCGTTGCCTCTGGCAGAAGCGCCGCTTCCATGCATGCTTTTTTTCGGCTACAAGAAATATGCACCAGCAGGTGAGAAGTTCTTGATGCCGCCACCTGTTGGGAGCAGCATGATCTGCCGGTCCTCGCATTTGCCCGGCGCAGTCACCGTGAAACCATCATATGAGTCACAATCAAAACCCGGCAATAAAATTGTCAAACCAATGTAAAACACTACAAAGGCGGCCGCAACTAATTCTCGGACTGTTCCTTACTAACCTTCCCTTCCCCGACAGTTTTGATTATGGCTCACATGGTTAGTCGCCGGAGAAGCTTTACTGCAAGCAAGGTGCCGGCAGCTGCGGCGGCGGAACGGGCTCCGGCCACCTCGCGGCATCACCAAACCACCGGCCCCTTTAGTCTTTGTTGCTGCAACGACCCGTCTGCAAAAGGTTGTTCACTTTTTGTGGGGGTTTAGTGGAAAACCCAACTTGATTTCAACCAAAAAGTTGAAGTCTAAAGATCCAACCCAATAGCAGCCAAGTATTTAGAGGACGACAAAGGCCGCGGCCAGGGATCGCCGTTCGGCTTCTTCAACTCCTGGGCGAACATGGGCCGGAAGGTTTTGCATTCGTGCAAACACACAGAAAAGGGCAGCACTCCAAACCCAAGCGGGCCACTTTCTGATTTCTTGTTGGTTTTTGTTTGTTTTTTTTGCCTTGCATCGTCATGTAAATCACGCCCGCAGGGATGGCCTGCGTTCTGTGCAATATCATGGGGGGTTCAAGCCAACGCTTTGAAGACGCGGAGGTTTTCCCTTTGGGCACAGAATGCGATGGCGCACTGTTGAGTGCAACCTGGCGGCGTTGGGCAGCTTCGTCACCGTGCCTCAGAGGTACGAAAAAATCATATCCTGTGAGTCCGGCGGCAAGAAGACTGCTCACTGTGCCTCAGACTCAAGATGTAAAAAAAAATGCACAAAAAGAACATCTGCAGTTTTTTTCGGTGGCTGCCGTTTTGTGCACGGCATGAGGCTAATCCATGCCACTCTTCATGTACACACAAGATCCGCCTCCCCCCCCCCGACGGCTGATAAACGATCCGGACAAGGCTCTCCGCAGATTCCAGTCATGCAGTATTTCGTCCATCTCCTTCCGGTGCTCCCTGGCATTCTCCAAGACCTGCTTCAAGTGGCAAGAGCATATGCTAGAGATTCTTGGCACATTTGTTGGAGCAATTGTCGGGGGGGGGGGGGCGCTAAAACCAAAAAGGGCGGCCATGTTCGGCAGAACTGCGGAAGTATCGCGCAGACCCAGTGCAGCGCCGCAACCCGATTCGCATTGACGTTGGCTCCTGACTGCTGTTGTTGAATTCTTCTCATCCACCTTTTTCTCGCACTGAGCAGCTTTGCCCGAACGTCGCATTACCAGGCTGACATTCGAAGTGAATGTTCTCACGAATGATCCGCGGTTTGAAGATTTCAAGGGATTGACACTTGACAGTTCGATGTGCTGATTATATCCCAAACTTGGCGACGGATTCGCAGAAGGGACATGGTTTGTACCTGAGTGGCGCGGATGTGCATTTGTGTTGGCACAGTTTTTTTCTCAACCAAGAAGCCATATATTCATGGTGCTCCCTCACAACGGTTCTACACTTTTGCAAACCCAGCAGAGGATGTGTACGATGTCTTTTTTTTGCCCTTGCGCTGTCCATTTGGAAACCTGCGATGTTTAATGCTTCACCCGGGAAAACTTTGAATACAAGTGATATGAATCCATAGGGTTCTTGCGGAAACGCGCATAATGAAAGAGGCTGGATGTTTATGCTGGGCTTCTCTGGTGTGGTTGAGTCGTGGTGTCACTACTACGGAGATGCCCATTCATTTGGAGCATAGGCGTGAACAACGTATCAACAAAAACTGGAAGAGCGCGCGCGGGGAGAAAAAAACGAAGAATCGAAGAAACAACCATGTCATCAGCAAACCCACATCCCTAATCAAAGCCGCAATCGCCAGCAAACACACGCCAAGTGCTTCCATCAGGGCTCAGCACATCCTTGTTGCACGCCAGCAGCAGGCTGACGAGCGTGGCGTCGCAACACAAGGCCTTGCCGTGTGGCCAAGCGTCGGCCGGCAGTGCGGAAGCAGAAGGATTCAGAAAAGGCACCAAGCGCAGCACAGGCAAGCAAGCTGGAACAGCGAGCAGCAGAAGCCGCGGCAACAGAACGTGCCCGGGAACGGGCGAGCAAGCGGAGAAAGTCAGCTGCTTCGTGGCTCCACTGACCCCGTAGCTTCAGGGCACCGGTGTAAGTTCAACAACTCAGGGTAAGTCCGCTCCTTGCGGAGCCGGGTTTTGCTGAGGGCGCTTCCCTGACCAGCAGCCGGCGCGCCCGCCGCAACTCCTCCAGAAGCCGTGAGTTGTGGAGCCGTGAGGGGGGACACGATCGACTAGGGGGAGGGGGCTCAGACCGGAAGCTCGTATTGACGGTGATCTCGCTGCAGAAACGGGGAGGGTGGCCAAAACGCTGAAGGAAAAACAGACTCAGTGGCAACGAGAAGAGCCTGGGCGATGGTCTCTGTGCCAACACTCAAAAAGCCATGAAAGGGCTGGCGGGCATCCAGGAACCGCAAAGCACCGACCCCCAAAACGTGCACATGTTGAAGGGCCGGGTGCGACCACCCCAGCGTGACCTCACAGCAACGCCCGGCGGGTCCTTCGACATGCTGTGTGGTGTTGCGCCCTGAGAGGGGCAACCGGGGTGGAGGCCACGCAAACACCAAGGGGCCCAGGCGCCACCAACGCAACAAGAAACCTCAGGCGCGCCCTCCACCTGCAGGCCGCATCTGCCCGACTTGCAGTCTGCCTGGCTGCTGCTCTTGTTTTGCGCCGCGCCTCGCGCGTCGCAGCACTTGCTTCGCACTGCGCCGCCTTCCCAGTCGGCGCTGACGCGGAGGCGCACGAAGGTCTTCTTCCGCAGCATGGGTGTTTTTTTCCTTTCCCGCACGCCTTTTCCCGTCCAGCGGCAATGAGACCCAGGGAACCCTCAACCCGCCCCACCCGAAACGGCCGCCGAGAAAGGCGAATGAAGCGCGCGCGCGCCGACGTGGTGACTAGCCGCGGCAGAAGGCTGGGCCCTCAGGTAACCCCCGCCCTTTGAGCTGGCCACCGAGAATGGCGAAGGAGACGCCGAGGGGCGGAGCGAAGCACTCGCGCCGATGCGGCGGCTAGCCGCAAAGGCAAGAGGCTGAGCTCGGACGGGCCAATCAAAGCAAGGACATCGGCAAGGTCGGGCTCGCCCTCCGCAGCCGGCACGGGGGAAAGCCAACGCCCCCCGAGCAGAGTGGAAGCGAGGGCGCGCTGCAAGGCGCTCGCAAGCAAGCACGACCAGCCGCTGCGGGCCAGGCCAGCTAAGCTCCGGGTACTGCGTGCGATGCCGGGCTACCGCTATGGCCGCGCCATCCTCATCGGCCGCGGGCGGTTGCGGTCGGCCGTCGCGACAGAGCGGAGCGATGAGCATGGCGTCGCAGCACAGCGCTTTGCCTAAGCGCGTGGCGCCGCAAAGAACAAGATCCAGGCGGCCTGGCGCAGAGGTGTTGGCCAACCACTGCTGGGGACGACCCTGCGCTCAGGCCCCAAACCTTCGCGCGAAATGCAGACCCACGCTTGTTCGAGCACGGCACGGCGCGCCAACAATCCGCTGCGCGATCACGCCGCCTCACGGCGCCGCGCCGTGTCCACCCTGCTGGGCGGCGCTTGGCTCCCTGCTGCGGATGCGGCGCCGGACCTCGGCGACGTCCTCGGCCTCGGGGACGCGCCTCTTCCAAGCCGCCTGCCCCTGCGAGGGTAGTCGTATGGCGTTCTTCTCGCCTTTGCTGCCTTCTTTGTCTCGCCTCCTTCGGCGCCGGTCCCAGTTTCACCGCGTGGGCAGACGCAAAAAGGTGCGCGCAAAAAAAAGAGTTCCTATTGTTCTTAGGGGTGTTGGGGCTGCATTGCCGATGAGGGGCGCATCGTGCCCAGAGGCTGTCCAGCGCACCAACTGCCTTCCTTCAGGCCCTCCTGTGCCTGGACGCATCCCTATAATGGTGGGCTATAGGGTAAGACTTGCTGCGCAGGAAAAAGGCGCGTGAGGAAAAAATCAGCGCCCTCCAAGGAGCACTTCTGTGGATACCGTTGAGTTCGCTGCTGAGTTTGCGGCCCCTTGCTCCTGCACTGCAAGCATGGTGCCAGGAGCTCGCCGAGCATGGGCGTTCGCTTTGCGCGCGCTGTGCGCCGATGATCCCCGGACGGCCACGCAGGAGCGCGCGGAAGCCTTGCCTGCTGCTTCCCAGGTATCTCTTCACGCGCGGCGCCTCTCGGGGTGCGGTATCGGACTTCCATGCCGGCTACTGGGCGGCGCTGCTTGGCGGAGCGCCCTTCAACCTGGCGCGCGCTCCTCGGAGCCGCCCACACCGGCGCAGCTGCGCGAGCGGGCGTGCGTCAAAATCCGGGAGGGCGACTTGTCGCGGTCGCTCTTCAGCTGCGCTGGCCCCTGGCGATGAAGCAGCCCTGGCCGCCTTGTCCAACCCGGACCGCCTGCCCGCAACAGCTTTGAAGGCCGCTTCCAGCGCCGGCAGCCGCTACCCGGCTTGATGCCGCTGCTGTAGCGGACGCCCTCCGCACGGCCAAAGACGGCAATGACTCGGTGTCCCGGGCGGCCTCTTGACAAACTCGAGGAAGTGACGCCTTGTCCGTGCCGTCTACGCGCGGCAATCAGTGTATTTGTGGTGGGGCGGTGCCGGCGTGGCTCCCGCCTTCTTTCCGCTTGCGCAGCACGCGGCGTTGGTGGCGGCCTTTGCAGCTCTGGCCAGTTTCTCGTCACCCCCCCCCCAACGCACGCGGCCACGAATTCCAGCGCCGAACCCGTTCGTGCTCGGCTAACGGCTTGTTGCCACGCCACATCTCAGGGCCGAGCTCCGAAATGCCCGGCTGGGCGGCGCCCCTGGACGCGCGGGTTGGCGGTTACCCCGGCGAGTTCCTCTACAGCCGAAAACACTGCTTCGAGCGCGGCATGCGCGTGCCAGACCCGCGCCTAGGGCGCAACACTTGCTGCGTCCTGCCGCCTTCCCAGTCGGCGCCCTACGTGGAAGCGGTCTGGGACACTCTGCAAGCGCTCCTCGGCAAGCGGGCGGCCCCTCCCGCTATAGCGGCTGACAGTGAACCAACCGATTGGCCGCATGGTTGGCAGCTTCTCGCGTCTCTGGGGCTTGCAGCTGTGCCCACTGATGCGGGGACCACGCTCCCCCCGGCGCACATGCATGTCGCCTTGCGTCGGCGCCTGCGCCTCCCTTTGCGTTGCGGAACGGCAGCAGAGCGGCGCAGTGCCGCAGGGGCGCGGAGCGACCGGACGCGCACCAAGCGGCGAACAAGGTCGAACGCCTCGGAACCAAAGCGCCCGCCGACTTCACAGGCGAGGACGACGAGCCGCTGTGGGCCAGGGCCAGCAAGCTCAGTAGCACGGCACCATCGTGCTCAGCAGCGCGTGGCTGCGGGCGGCCATTCCGGCGCAGAGGCGAAACCAGCGTGACATCGCAGCAAAGGGCCTCACCGAGGCGAGTGGCGCCATATAGAACGAAGTCCCGGCATCTGGGTGTGTGTTTGTGTGGCAGGGGTCGCATTCGGCAGCTGTCTAGAGGGACAGGATGTTGTCGCGCGCGCGGCGGGGGGTGTGCGAAATCGTGGCAGGCGCAGCACTTTGGCGATGCCGTTGCGAAATTGTGGCAGGCGCAGCACTTTGGCGATGCCGTTGCCGAAGTCGTGGCAGGCGCAGCATTCTGTGCATCTGGGTGTGTGTTTGTGTGGCAGGGGCGACCCCAGGGGCGGTCGTGTGCGCCAGCCACTGCTGCGGCACGACACGAGCCTCCGGGCCCAAGGACACGCTGCGGCATGGTCGCCAAGGGCGTCGAGCGCCCCCCCACAGCCCGGCATCCCGGCACCTCCGCACATCCCATGCGTGAGTGGCAACGGCAGGCGAAGGCGCCGACATGCATGTGGGCTGGAGGAAGGGTGGTGCCGGCGTCAGTGGGGACGGCAGTGAGCCAAGCCCCTGCTTGAGGCCCAGATTTTTTTTTTGGCCCAGATTGGGAGCGAAAGCACGCCCGGTCGGACGGCGACATGACAGGCAACAACTCGCGATAGTAGGTGTGAAGAACACGAGACGCGCGAAGCTGCCAACCATGTGGCCAATCACCAGGGCCGCTGTCGGGGGAAGCAGGCGGCGCAGCACGGGCCAACACAACATGCCAAGACGGGCATGCATCCCAGCCGCGGAGGCGCAGCGGCCGCCTCATCCCCCACCATCAGCTCGCGCACGCAGCGCTCAGCAGCCTCGGGCCGGCGTTGTGCCATGACGGGAAGGCAGTCCGCCCATGCGCCCCAGTAAGCTGATGGGGTCGTGCGCTCCGCACACAGCAAGCCAAGGCCACCCATGCGCGTAGGGAGGAAGGCGCAGGCGCGGGCGTGAGGCCAATCCGCCCCGGGCTCGCCAAGGAGGGTTTGCAGTGTGTCCCACGTGGCGTGGTCGTGGGCCGCAGCATAAGCCGCCGACTGAGAAGGCGGAAGCGTGCGGAGGAGGTGCTGCGCACGCGGCGCGGCGCAGAACAAGAGCAAAAGCCACGCGGACTGGAGATCAGGAAGCTGCGGGAGTTCAGCAAGCAGGCGCCGTTGGTCAGCGAGCCGCTCACCAGAGCATCTCTCGACGAACTCCGGGCTGCCGATGGGCACGCCCAAAGCGACGAAGCCACGCTCGGGCGCAGGTTTGTCGCCACGCCACACCTCTGGCCCCAGCTCGGCAATGCCGGGGGGAGGGGGGCCTCCGGCGCGGCTATGCACCCGGGTCTTACCAAGGTTGAGGAGACCCCAGCATACTCCTCAACTGCGCCTGTGACAGCATCGATGCTGTCACGTGCACGACTGGCCGTCGTGAACACGTACGGATCATCCAGGAAGGCCGCAAGGCGGTCGCCAGAACGCAGGCCTTGCGAAGCAGCAGCTAGGCCGTCGTGCTGTGCCAGGGCATAGAGCGCCGGGGCCAACGGGTCCCCTTGCTCACAGCCCTCCCCCTGGAGGATTCGGTGGCAAACGCCTTGGCTGTCCCACCACAGGTAAACAGACTGCCTGGCGTAGAAGCCACGCACAAACGGCAACAGTGCCGGCGCAACCTCCTCGAGCTTGCGGAGGAAAGCGGCGCGCGACACACAGTCGTACGCGCTGCGACCGTCAAGCGAGACGACGGTCGCTTCCGGGTCAAGCTCCACAGCAACCCGCAGCATGGAGGCAAGGCAGTCAGTGCCAGCGCGCGCCTGCAACGCAAATTGGAAGGGGCGCGTAGCCTCATCGAAGCGGGCCGCATACCTTCGGGCCAAGGATCGAGCGACCAGGCGCCGAAACGCATCGCCAGTAGCAATGCCCCTCGTGCCCCCGCCGGGCTTCTGAAGCGCCGTGAGGCGGGCCAAGGCCAAGGCCGACAAGGCCTCCTCCGGAACATCCCCGTTGGCGAGCAACGTGGCAACCTCGGCAAACTGGGCGAGGGCGGCTCCGGACAGGCCTGCCGCGGCACCCTTCTTAGCCGTCCGCAACGAATCAGCGACAGCAGCAGCGGACAAGTGGACGCGCGGGACAGAGGCCAGCGCCGCCGGTAAGGGCCGAAGTGGCTCCGGCGGTCGGCGCGCGGGATCCTGCAAGGCGGCGAGGGTGGCCTCGTTGCCCGGCGCCAGAGCGGCGGCCGTGAGCGTTTGGCGGGCCCGAGACAGATCTCCGCGCTTGACCTGGGCGCAGGCGCGCTCGCGCCTGGCCTCGTCCGTGAGGGCAAGCGTGGTGGGCGGTCCAGGCCGGGAAGCCACTGCCGCGTCAAACAGCGCGGACCATCGCCCCGCGTGGAAGTCCTCCAGGCGCTGAAGAAGCGCAGCCTTACCAACTCCACCGTTGGCCGCAACCCCGCGCGTGAACAGCAAACGCGGGAGCAAAAGGAACAATTTCCACGCGCGCTCCCGCGTGCTGCCCCCGGCTGGAGAGGGGGAGAGCAAAGCACGGAGTGCGAACCACCACGCGCGGCGGGCTCCAGCATGCATGAAATACGGCACGCTTTGGAGCGTAAGAACTGGCGCGGAAAAGGCGGCAACCAGATCGACCGAGTCAAGCCAAACCCACGCCGCGCGTGGGACCCGTGCCACAACACTGGCAGCACGCTGCGCAACCCGTAGGGGAGCACTGCCACTGCTGGACGCAGCGTCGGGCAGCAGCGCAGGTGGGGCGCCGGCCTCGTCCAGCGAGCCAGACGCCATGTCGCTGCTGCCGCCGTGCGGACGACCCGAATCCCCATCCGCCCGGCCGGGCCCAGCGCGGGCTTCGGCAGACGAGGCACGCCGTCGACGACGTCTGCGCCGAGGGGCGGCGGTCGTCAAGCACGCGCCGTCAGCAGCAGGCGGGAAACGCCGAAACGCCTCGGAGCGCCCGTCTAGCGAGGACGCAAGCGACAGGCCGCCGAACACTTGAAGGCACGCTTCCTGGCCAGGAGCAGGTATGTATCCGTCACGGAGGGCCAGCACATTCGTGACCCAAGGGAGGTGGACCATGGCGCCCGACGGCAGCACGGACACGGCCTGCTGCAGCCGTACAGCGAGCAAGGCGGCGGACCCCGCTTCTGGCGCCAGCTCGAGGGCGGCAAGGAGAGTGGCGGGGCGAGTGGCGCCGAAGCAAGCTCGTGACGAGCTGCGTCCCACCAAAGGGCCGCCCGGCTGTCGGCCCTCCACTGGGCGAGGGCGTCGGGAGACAGGCGACCAGTAGCCGCGTGCAACAGGGGCACATACAGCCAGGAATTGGTTGGCCCCACGGCCTCGCGAGGCGGGCCCGCTCGCAGCCAGGCGGCTCCGGCCTCATTGGGAAGCCCAGCGTCCGGCACCGCAGGGCCGGGTGCGCGTTCCGGCGGCCCCCCTGCATCACGGTCCCCAGGTGCAGAGTCGGATGCCCGGACCGGCGGCATGTCAACGTCGGAAAGCATGGACAAGCCCATGTCCAAAGGCGGAGGCGACGCCGAGCTTGCAAGAGGACACCCACAGGTCAGGCGCCCGGTGCCAGCAGCAGCGTCATGTTCCCAGAGCCGCATGCGGCCACACGCGGGGCACGCTGCTCCGAACTCCGCAGGCACATGCACATCTTCGCTGTGTGTGACGCGCGCGCAGCGCGGACATGCCCAGGCACCCTGCCAAGCAGCTATGCCGCGCTCATGGCGCCGAGGGATTGGCGACCAAGCCGCGGCCCTGTGCGCCAGCTCGAGGAACTGCGCGTCGCTTTGCCCAGGGTCCGGCCGCACGGCGGCCAACCTGCGACAGCAGTTGACTACAACATGCACCGGTTCAGGCGGCTCTGGGGCATCCTGGCCGGTGAAGGTGCGGACGGTGTAGTCCTGCACGCTAGATTGCGCAGTGCGCTGGTCCGGCAGACGGGGCGGCGGGTGAAGGGCCTCCTCGCGGCACCAAGCCGTCAGCTGGTCGTCATGCTCCGGGGCCCACCCGTCCACGGCGCAGACGGGGCACGCGCCGTGATGACACAGAGGGCAAGCAACATCACGAGGACGACGCGCTTGAACGCGCAACTGCGCGAGACAGCCCAGGTGAAGGACATGCCGCGGGCAGACTGGCAAAGGCACGGGGCGCAATGCACCGAGACTGTTCGGGAGGAGGGGCTGAAGGCAGACACAGCAGTCATCAAGCTCTGACCGCGGATGAGCCTCATCCAGCACCTGCTCGCCCACATCCGGCGCCAGAACGCGAGGCGGCGTGACCGCGGCGGGCTGGGAGGGCGCGGCGGCCCCGTCCAACAAAGCATCCTCGTTTCCCTGCGCTCGCCGCGCAGTAGGAGTGGCGCTGCGGCGGCGGGACGTCGTTCGAGCTCGCCCTGCCTCAGGTCAGAAACGCCGCCTTAGTCGCGAGCCGAAGGAAGGCTGGGACAGGACGGTTTGAGGGGCACCTACGCAGAACCAAGCCAAAACCAAGTGACAAGTGTTCTTTTGCAACGCAGCCAGCACTCCAAGGCTCGCGCGCTGGGCCTGGGAGTGGCGAAGGGCCGAAAAGGCTACACAACACAACGCTGGGGCCCCGGCCTCGAGGAAGCGAGCGGCCTCAGTCACAAGCCGCGGGAAGGCCAGGGTGCCGAGACGCTCACTAAGGCCCAGGCAGTGCGCAAGCTCGCGTTCAGAGAGAAGCCGCGGCCGCCAAGGTGGGAGGCACCTAGGCACGGGCGCGGTGAGAGACACACGCGCGACGAACGGCGGACTCTGAGGAGCGGGCGCGCCGAAAGGAGACGGCCGCGCGGCGGCCGAGCCGCTGGTGGCCGCAAAGGGCGAAGGAAGCGGTGAAGGGCGACGGCGCTGCGGCCGGAGCACCGCCAGGCCTGAAGAAAGGCGAGGTGGCCACAGGGACGTGTGCCGGGCAACGGAATAGCAACAACAGCCACGAGGCTTGGAGGTCCTCAAGCTCCGGCAGGCGCTGCAAAAACGCATCGTGCCTCGTCCGGGATTGCAGGAGCTGGGCTCGCACAAAACCATCTGAACACACAGGCACACCTAGCACAACCAACCCCTGTGCCTCTGAGGGAAGGGAGGAAGCCAGGCTGGCCGAGGTCGGGCGGACACCGCCCTGCTGCGTTCCACACACGTGCGCTTCCTGGGTTGAGCTGGATGTGGCAGTGCTCTGACAAGTGGAAGGCTGCCTGCCCGCTCAGGAGCCATCAAGGAAGGCAGCTACGCGTCGCCTGCTGGCAGCTCGGCATTGGCTGCTCGGGATGCTGCCCCAGCGAATGCAAAGCGAACATCAGCGGCACTTGTTTTGTCTGGCGATGCGTTCTCAGCTGCTGTTGCTGCTGCCAATGCAGCGGCTGTCGCCTTGGCGATGTCAACTGCTCCCCTGTCTGACAGAGTTGTTGCTGACACCCCCAGCCCGGGTCACCACAATGATGTGGCCTGCAAACAAGGCAGCGGTGCTGGCCGCAAAAAACTTGCATCCTCCGCATCCTTTAAAAAAACCAAGCCCTGCAGGCTCTCTCATCTCATCATCATCAACTGCTTCGCCGCCCCGTGTTCATACTTACGTCCGTACACACGCGCTGGCGGCGCTTAGCTTTCGAGTTCCAGGGAATTCTTCTGTGCGGGCGTCGGAGATGCAGCGGTGTTCGCGCCGCAATCCCTCCGCGAGGCTGGCGCGGCGCATCTGCGCCTGGAGGCGTGGAAGCTGTTCTTGCTCGGATGTTGCTAGCTTGCTGCGCCAGGTGTCGCACTGCTGTGTTTTGTAACAAAACACAGCAGTGCGACGCCTGGCGCAGCAAGCTAGCAACACTGTTTTTGTTGTTGTGATTTTTTGTGCTCTCGCCTTTTTCAGCTGCATGAGTCGATTCCCCCCGACCCTGCGTGAACAATGGCTGGTAAAAACGGCCCGTGGCGAGCGGCTGCCCTGGCAGCTGGTGGATGCTGCTCGCGGGCGGTTACTTCCAGCAGCCCGCGCCGCCGCCCAGTTGATTAAAGCGCCGCAGGCAAGCCGCGGTATGGGCGCCCAACGTGTCGAGAGCAGCTTTGCACTTGGGGAGCTCGTCTCCCCCACAACACCCTGGCATTGGGATGCAAGTGATGCAGGCGATGGAAGGAATGCGGGCGGCGGCGTTCGCAAACGCACGGCTGGTGCGAGCAACGCGCGCGCCAGCAAATGCTGCGCAGCTTATGCAATCATGCGCTGCAGGTGGCGCAGGGCTGCAAGCGATGCAGCTGACGTACTCCTCACGCAGGCGTGGGTTGAACAGGCTGTCACTCGGCCTCCTTCCAGCCAGGCAAGGCTTTGCAAAACTGTGCCGGCTTCCATCCTGCTTCGCGCGCGCAAGAGGAAGCTGGCTGCAACTGGTTCACAGGCGCGCAAACCGAAACCCTAAGCTTCATCCAGCTCTGGCGAGGCCTGGCGCCGCGAGACACCGCTCGAAACGATCGCAATGCGGGCGTTGGCCTCCCAACCACCATGTCTTGGAGTCAAGTGCATGCAAATCCTTGGTTTCCGCTTGTGCTCTTCATAATCCGTCCATATCCCGTTGGTAAAAGCTGAGTGCAGGATATTCTGACAGTTTCCATGCAGCTTTGGAGCAGTCACCATCCAGGACCCCTGGTCGAGCAACAAGCTGACCATTGCGGATGGGTCATTACCAGTTCCCTACGAATACGCCGAGAAACACGTCAGCAAATGGCCAGACCCTGAGCATGAAAGCGCACGTGGGGCTTGAGAGGGAAATGCGCTACATAGAGAAGTTGCTTTGACAGTCAACCCGAATGCCATGCGCAGGGCATTGGGTTGGCCGGCATGACGGTCCTAATTAGGACGCTTCACTGCGCAGATAGAACAGCTTTGTGCTTCATGCTTGAAATGAAAGCGACATCGAATCGACCTTCACAGGGTTCCCTGCGCACATGTGTTTTGACTGCCGCGGTCTCGGCGAAAGCATGCCTGTTGCACGGCTGCCTCTGTTGTCGGAAACGCGCTGGGAGTGGCAAGGCTATACCCTTTAACGACATGGTTTTGAAACACATGTTGCTCGTTCATAAGGCGAAACAAGACTCGCCTTTGTGTTTGGGTTGCTTAGAGGATGCCGTCGGCTGCAAAGCTTTGCGCACTGGCCTCCTGAGATCTGGCAAATTTCGCGGGCTTGATGAAGCTACCCGCAGCCGGCCCGGGCTGGTCGCACCTGCGTCAAACTTCGCCGTGGGCGTGGCCGTGGACTTTGCTTTTTGGTTTCGCGGCGATCCAAGGCTACGAGGGTTTTGGTGGAGCCGAAGCTGGGTAACTTGGGGCAAGCGTCTATCCAGTGCAGTCGTCCTGCGCCCATCCATTGCTTTTCTGCTGCCGGCAGATGCGGGGAGCACTCGGCTCGACAGGCTTGCGATGCGACTGGCTGTCAGTGGTCTTGCGTCGATGGCGCAGTATGGGCAGTCCGAGCTTAGCTCGACGCAAGACCGCCTGGAGAACAAAGGCAGTGGCAAAACACTCTTTGGTGTATCTCTTTTTATCCCCAAACTCGTTGGGGGGGGGGGCCTGTTGATTCCCTTTAGAACCACCGAACAAAAAAACGGGGTACCGAGCCACATAACAAGCCGACCCACATGGAGCTGAGCCCATCTTTCGAGTCGGGCTGAAAGGACTCAGGGCAGTTTCCCTCCAGGCGGAAGGACATAGCTATAGCTAAAGGACACGTTCCACAGATCTTCATACACCTTTCCTCTCTGCCATGTGTCATTCGGCACATGAAAATATCTCTTATGTGCCGCATGAGAGAGCAGCAAAGTGCTGGCCAGTGCCGCGCGAGCAATGAAGGCTCCATGCCTTCAGAACAGGTCAGGCGCGGGCATGTTTCATAGCCTGGATGACCATGATGCAACTCTGGAAGCGGGAACCAGCTGCAAGCGCTGCAAGTTCTGCAAGTTTAAGAGACTGAACAAAGAAGACGGGCTGTCGGCAAAGGTTTGACGGGCCATGGTCGGCAAATCCACTGGCACCATAGAGCCAGTTCATGAGCCCTATGAGATGCTTCACTGCGAAGCGGCTACACGAAGCCAAAGTCGAGCGGCGAGCTTAACCCTCAAAGATGAGGCAACATCACATTGATGCTTACAAGATTGACTCTCCTCCACCTGCTACCACCGGGTCGATACAAGTATGGACTATATTCTATGATGCCCACATCCATTTACTCATGGCTCATGATCCTAGCACATCATCTTCCGCGCAAACAAACATGCTTTCCGTTTCCAAGGATGGCAACGTCTCTCGCAGAGCTTTGCGACAGAAAGCGGCGTTTGGCGCAAACGTCGCTCATCTCTGGCCGTCTGGCGTGCATCCTTACAACTGCCGCATTCACCCGGCAGAAGCTTGGGGCAAACCCGAGGGTTGCTCTGTTGCCATAGAAGGCCTGTCAAACGGCGACTTTTGGCCTGGGGACACCAGAGCGTGGAAGCAGGGGCTGGAACGAAATTCTGCGGCTATTGGCTGGAAGCATCGATTGGTCCGATACACATGTAATTCACTTGGCGCCGGGTGAGTCTTTCCAGCGCTCTGAGCGATAAGTGTAGAGAATTCCAGGCTTGCCGAGCCAGCCACCTTCGCAGGGAGCCTTACTGCCAGCGGCAGCTCAGCAGATTGTCGCGGCTTGCGCCGATGATCAAGGCAGCGAGCGCGTGGTTCCCGGGTTGGCTGGATGCAACTGCATTGGCTTGATCGTTGGCGTGTGCAGCTTGAAGAGTTTTTGGCGGCCGTCAGCATCCAGCTGCATTGCAGCGACGCTCGGGCTCATATACCCAGCTTGCCCGCAGAACTTTGCGCTTGCCAGCTCATTCCTGCGGTTGGCTCTTGGCTCGGCCGAATGTGCCGAGCGGCCGGGGCACTCGACTCGTTTGACTGCCAAACTTTTGCGGCGGCGAAGCAATCATTGCCAAACGAGAAGTACCAAACATTTCGTGCAGAACGAGACCTCGCCCGGATTGCAAAGCCAACCAGTTCTCGACGTCGCATGCGCAACAGGACAAAAGGACTCGACTTGTCACGCCTCCTCCGCCGCATCCTGTTGGTCGTGCATGTCCTCCCTGGCGTTGTGAAGGTCCTGAGGCGAACGGTGCCACTCACTCACGAGCCGACAAACCTGGCAGCCTGCAAGGTCAGGCCGTCAAAGATCTGCTCCGCCTTGACAAGGGCACAGCAAGTTCATGGGCAGATAAAGCATGTGCTTCCATTTGCTTAAGCCCCTGGAAAACGTTTAACAAAAAAGTAAAAACTGTCCAGTAGTGATAGATTCCCTTTAAAACCGAAAAGGGAAAGCAAAAAATAGTCTTAAGCAAATGGACGTGTGTACACCTAAACCAAGTGTAGTGCCAGACTCCAATCTGAGTGCAATCGCTGTCCATAATTCATGTCCCCTGACAAAATCTGGTGAGTGATTTCCCTACTATGTTTGGCAAGTGTGCAGTGTACCTCATACAATCCCCCGTTTGGCACGGATGTCTCCAGCCGAGCGAAGAAACCCACCTCCTTCTCCTTCTCTTCCAGGTAGTCAAAGCGATCCAGCGCCGGCTCGCCCTGTGCGCGACAGCAACCTCCCAAACCTGTCCCCAATTCTTGCAAAAGAACCAAACAAAAAAGAGAAAGAAGTATCAAAGGGCGCGCGCCGAGCCTCTCAAACAAACAGGAGTGTCCCAAAATAGGACAATAGGACCCCCCTTTTCCCCCCCTTCCCTTCCAAACTTTGGCTTCCTCGTCCACCTCCTTTAAGAAAAAAAGAGAATCCCAGCCATCCCCAGCCTCCCCAGCCATCCCCAGCCATCCCCAGCCACCGCCTTCACCCCAAACCCTAAGGCCTCCTCCACCATGGCCCTGCTCTGGGCGTGCAGGTCCCGCGCCTGGGCGAAACGAAAAAAGGGGCACGAAGCACGAATCCATTTCAGAATTTCGCTGCCTCAAATCGAAACGAATCAAAAGAACCACCGAACTAACCAACAAACAACAAACAACAAACGAAACTAACCAACAACGAACGAACGAACCAACAAACAAACAACAGATCTTACCATGCATAGGACCTTGCGGATCACAACGGAACATCACGGAACACAAGAATGAACGAGTGCCACCTGCCGAACATCTGCCATCTTGCATAGGAAAGATCATCGCGCGTAGGGGAGTCACAACAAAGCACAGGACACCAAAATGAACGGATCGCACCGGCTGTGGGTCGAATGGCCCAAAACCTCAAAGCTCGAACGAACGAACGAACGAGCGAGCGAGCGAGCGAGCGAGCGAGCGAGCAAACAAACAAACAAACAAACAAACAAACAAACAAACAAACAAACAAACAAACAAACACACCAAGCAAGATCACAAGATCGACGCCGGGTTCTTTCATTTTGAAGACCACGAGTAAAATTTAAAAAGGAAGCCGCTGATCGATCGATCCATCAGGTGCCCGCGCCATGAGCACCTCCGGCGGATCACCTCCGCCAGGTGCTTGCGACTGGCGCGGGACAACTCGGCGGCCCGGCCAGCGGCGCGCTTGGAGGGGGGAAACCGACGCCAGTTAAAATGGAAGAGTCCCCTCGAAACAGAAAAAAATGGTAGGTTCAAAAAAGGTGGGTAATACTAATAACAAAAATGGTAGGGGGAAAAAACGGTAGGAGAAAAAAGGTAGGTCAAAAAACATAATCAGCTTACCCCTAGTTGCTTTAGTTGGTATGGCTTCGCGGTTCGGACCTCAAAAAGGAACTTTCCCCATTTGGCTCAAGGTCAAAAGCAGGGACCCTCTTTGGTTCATGTTAAAAAGGCAAGCCATCATGCAACCATCCGAGCCGTCATTGACAAAATGCCAAATGATCAAAGCAAAGGTTGCCCAATGCCCCAACCAGTTTGCTGGCTGGAAAAAAGTCGCTTCAAAGTCTTGGTCTCAAGCACTCACCCTCCTGACTACCGACCACCACCAATCTCAGTGGCCTTGTCAGTCGCGTGTGACACACGATGCATAGGGAATATGATGTATATATTTGTATCATACATTATGGTAACAGCAGTTCCGGGACCTTGGAACACCATATATTTCGGGTCTTCCAAGCCATCACGAACCACACAAAAAAAAAAAAAAAAAAAAAACATGTGGCCTTGCCTGCTCGAGAAGATGGTTCACGCTCTGCGTCAGGGAGTTGACTTTGTCCCAGTCTGCCAAGGAAAAAAACAACTCCGCAGCCAAAACATCCGCAACCAACATCCGCAATCTGGGCATCTTCCGCATCCAAAAACACAATTCTGCGCTCGCTCGCACGCGCCTACTGCAGCCTGCCCGTAGCCCGCTGCTTCACCAGCTTTGGTCTGGCAAGGTGCCGCTTGCAGAGATTTGGCAAGCGAGGCGGAGACCAAGCGATGCAGGACGTGTCAGTTTGCAATGACTTGGGCAACCTTATACCCTGAGGCTCCTGACGGATATTGCTTTGCTCCAAGTGGGGGTGTGGTATGGGGACCCCCAGGTTCTGCGTACCAAGCCACAGGAGCCTTAGGACAAATCAATATCCTGAATTTTCACAATGGCTTGGGTAACCAAAACGCTTTTTGTACTTCATCGAGGGCTTGGCGGCCGAACCGCGGCGGGAGCTCCACGGCTTCATCGGAGTAGTACATGGCGTTGGCGTACTCTCGCTGCGCTTTGACTCGGGACAGGGTGTCTTTGTTGCTGTTGACCCCTCTGCACAGAGTTTAACTTTTTGGGGGTTTAGTGAAAAGCCCCTTGATTTCCCCAAAAGTTAAAGTCTAAAGATCCAACCCAATAGCAGCCAAGGTGTATATGCGCCATGTAGCGTTGGTTCTGAAGTGGTTCAAAGCTTCCGAATGAATTGCCGCCGCTTGCTTCTCCAGGAAGCCTTCATCTGGTTGCATTTTGGCTATGGGTCAAAACCCCGGTACCCCGGTGAACACCCAGAAAGCCTTCTAAAAAGACAACAGTCAAATGGGGTAATCATTCCCAAGGCACAAATTAGGTTTTGACCCACAGCCTTCTTGGGTCCAAACAAAAAAGCACCACGAAAAGCCGTTGCATGTTTGGGTCCAAACAAAGAAGGAACCAAAAGAAAAGAGATCTTCTTTAAATACAGAAGATAAAAACAAATAAACAAAAAACTGTCTGCACAATTGCAACGAACCAAACAAACCTGATCCACGAAAAAAAAAGGAAAACCACTTCTCCAAAGACTGCTCCCATGGCAAGGAGTGGAGGCCGAGGTGCCGCTGGCAACGTCTGCCAGCGCGCCGTACCAGCCAGACTCTGTGGCGATGGCACCTCAGCCCGGAGTTGGGTTCGATGGACATGTGAGCAGTCAGAGTTACTTGTTCCCCTAAAAGGACATGGGAATGAGTCCCCTGGTTGTAGGGAAATTTGGTGAGTCCCCCATGTCCCTCCCAAATGGACCGTAGCAGTAACTTTGACCGAACCTCATAGCCAGGCTCAAAACCCGGGGCTCCTTGGCCTATCCGCCAAGCCCACCGGAGCTCACTCCCCTCGATTCGAGTCCCCGCACCGGCTCTGGCTGCTGGCTGGCCCTCGCGCTGCGTTTCAATACGAGTCCCTTGAGTCGACCAAACGGGCACCAAGAATTGGGACTGTCCTTTTGTTGAGGGTACCCCCTTTTTGGTTGGTGTAAAGGGAAACCAAGAGGAAACCCGCCATTTTGGGGGGTCCACCCAAAAAAAAGAATACATGGTTCATGCGACAAGAAAGACCGCCACGCAAAAGCCCTATGAGTCATGTACCCAAATGGTCGATCCCCAGAAAATGCAACTAACTAAAGACTTACCAAGGCGAAGATCCGCACCCATTTATGGCAAGGGGATTGCCCCTTACCCTGCAAATTACCAGAATCGGGTTTTGAGGACGTGACTCGTATAAAAAGCAACCACGCATGTTCTTTGCATGGATCAAGTACATTCTATGTCTGTCGCATCTGCTTCTTCAAGGCAGGCGCTGCCTCCTTAGCCAAATTTGGGTCTCTCTCTCTCTCTCTTTCTCTCTCTTTCTCTCTCTCTCTCTCCCTCGCGCTCTCTCTTTGTCTCTCTCTCTCTCTCTCTCCCTCTCTCTCTCTCTCTCTCCTTGTTGAGAACCCCCCCCCCCCAAAAAAAAAGAGAGGCAAAAGCGTTGGTTTTCCTTTTGGTGGCTCTTGAAAAGCCACCAAACGTGGGGGGGATCAACTCCAAAAACAGATTCGAGCCGCGCTCAAGTGCCGCTTGCATCCGTCCCCAGACCTGGAAGTAGGGCGAGATGGGCGGCGGCAAGAGCGGAGGCTTGTCAGGGGGCGGCCACCAGGCCTGGTGAGTGAAGCCGAGGCAAGGAAAAGGCTGGCTCGTCTTTTTGGGAGTTGCCTTGGCTTTTTTTTCTCTGGTTTTCCCGGTGTTCTCTGGTTTTCCGTGGTTTTCTCAGGTTTTCCGTGGCTCTCTATTGCTTTGCTCTCCAAACCATGGCAACCAGAGGGACCCGGATGGCCACCAAGAATATGTGGCTGTCCCTTATTCGAGGGTGCCATTTTGTTGCCCCATCCATTCGAACGGGTCGAAATGGGGGGGGGGGGAGGCCTGAAGGCTGCAGATTGGAAAGGCTCCAAAAGCCGGAAGTCCAAAATGGCTTGCCCGATCGGTAAGTGGAAGCATGGACCAAAATTCCTGCGGTTTGCCCCTCCGATCGTGTCATTTTGAGAACCACACCCATTTTGTTCCCCAGTTTCCCGAAAGAACGAGCCAAATGATGCGTCTTCTTTGCAGGGTCCCGTTTCTTCGTGGCTGCTCAAGGGAAACACAAGAAGAAAAAGGACGACACCTCCTTCTCTTTTGTCAAAAAAAAACAGGAGCAAAAAACGACAAACAAAAAAAAACAAACAAACAAGAACAACTCTCTGGACCCCCCACGTTTCTGCCTAAGCGAAAGCCCCCCCGCCCCCCCCGAGCGACCGAGACCCAACACGACCCCTGCCTCGCCCACCGGAGGTGGGCCGTTGCCTCCGAAGAGGAGGCCTTTGGCCGCGCCTCGATGCTGGGGTCGTTGAGGCGAAACGAGGACGCATCTCTTCGGAGCTGTCACGTTCTTTGTTGGGGGGTGGGGGTGGACGTCACGTTTTTTTGTTTGGGGATGGGAGGTTGAAAGGGAAACCCTTGAAGAAACCGGAAGCCTTCTGAAAGTCGCCGGCGCTTGGTGGGAGACACCGCCAGGTTGTGGTGCGCAAAAGGGAACCACTCGGCTCTCAGCCCTTTTGTTTTGGGCCGCTTGCAGGGTTCAGGCGAAGTAGACTCAAACTGGGCTGGCTCGCGCATTCCGCGTTCCCCAGAGGCCAGTCCAGAGTTCTGGGTCTTTTTCCTCCAGCTTTCCCCAAGAACCCGAAGGCTTCCAATTCCGGGGGCTCGGCCCATGACCGCCTTCATGCTGCATGGGCTGCTCGGGTCAGAGGAACCCCAGCTCGCGAGAGCCCGCGCAAAGCAAGCGGAGGCGTCAGCAGGATTCACCGGCTGACCCGAGAACTGACGCTCTTTTTGTTTGGGCCAAAGGTTTTGGGGCTGTCGGATGTTCGGCTTGATCAGGCTTGATCAGGCTTGATCAGGCTTGATCAAGCTTCCATGCCATGCCCAGTTCCAGAACCTGAGCCAAAACAAAATCCGCGGCACCAAGCAAGCTGAAAGAGAGTAGCAGGCGGCCGGAGCAACATCTGACCCGGTCGGACCATCCAATGCTCTGCGGGGAGCGGCTCAAGTTGGCGCTGTTTCTCGGGACGCATCTGCCTGTGCGCAGCATACGGGCTGGGTCAAACTGTCGCAGCGCCCGATAAAGCAGAAACACCGGACCAGTCACTCTGCTGGCACCTCAGGAAAGCAAATTGCTCAAGTCAATGGGTGTCTCCCGCTCGAATCCCCGGCCTCATTGGGACGCTTCCACCTGCTTCACCCAATAGAGCACCTCCTCGCTCAGGACCTGCAAGCACCGGTTGTCTTCCAACATCTCGACGCATCAAAACTCTCGAAAGCACACGAAACCCTCAGGTGAGTTGTTTCACCCGCCACACTGACAGCTTGCTTCAAAGACAAAACGTGCGCAAAAAAAAGAAGCTCAATTTTTTGTCTGCCCGCGAATCGAAAGATCTGGCCCCAGGTGGCGTCAGCCCCAGGCGTCAGTCGCGCCGAGACCGAGCGCAGGAGCCAATAGAGGCAGCCAAACAGGCGAGAGCCCCGCGCCATACCCCGCGGTGAGACCGCCATACAGGGTACCGCGTTTGTTCGACTGGGACGAGTCGAAACACCAATCCGAGGAGAAGACCACCGGGGGAAAGTCACCTGCGCGGAGAACACTTGAAAGCGACCCCCGACACAAATGACCTTGGTTTTGAAAAGTAGATGAGTTTTGGTACATGGAACAAAAAAACATCTAAACCAGTTCTAACCCATTCCCCCAGTAGCATTCTCCTCTTCGATTCACCCGGTCTGTGTGGGCTGAGCTATTAGCCAGGAGTCTTCTCGGCAGTTGGCCCAACGAGAGCTGGAAATTCGAGATGAATGGTTTCGAAGTGTTAGGCCCGATGACAAATCCGCCGGAGCGTGGGTTCACGGTCGTGTTTTCCGGCCGCATCCCGAAGGCATTCTGCTCGGGAGCAACACCCACTCAGTCGAACCAAGCCTCCAAACGCGGGGGGTTGAACGCATATCGGATTCCTTATCAATTCCGCGGCTCCGGCGGGGCCAAATGCCAAGGGAGAGTGTGCAAAAGTTGGCGGCCCCTGAAACACCATCTGATTTGTTTCGCGTCAACCGCAAAGCTTTTTGAGCTGAACCGCCGCCGTACTGCATGTCAAGTCTCCGAGTCTTTGAACCGCCAACGTGTTGGTCATCTCGGAGGTCGGTGTTCCCTGCGCGAAGTGGGGACATTTGGATTTGCCTTGGATTTTTTTCGCTAGGGGAACGGCCCGCGAGACCTTTGCTACGACCTTGTGAGGTAGCAGTTGCGCACGGAGCAAGGCAGAGACCGGCCGGAGAGAGGCCAGGTCTGGGAGAGCATCGCCTTCGCAGCCGACTCCCCTCGCCTTGCGAAGCCGAATTGGGCCACTGACGAAAGCCAAGCGGTGCAAGAATCGACTGAATCCCGGGACGGGAATCCGAGCAGCACAAACCACACACGAAATCGCGGGGAGAAAAACAACAACAAGAAAAAAAAAACATGCGTTGAGAGGCCTCCTCTCTGGCTGGTTTCATTTTCTAGTCGCCAACCACAGCATGAATGCTTGTTCTTTGCCATCGTTTCCGTGGTGTTCACTCCATACGTGCTCCACATGTCTCTGGCACGGCCAATTCGGTGCACGTTTCGAAGGCCGAACAGCTCCGTGGGTCCCTGGCACGCTTTCCACGGATCTGACTCGGCCGCTTCTCGACCCAGAAAGCTCCCCATTGGCAACTTGGGCCCCGGAAAGCACAGCTTGAAACTGTCGCCACCAGGAAAACCAAAGGAGAGAACACGAGGTGGTCGATGTGGTCTAGGCAATTATAGGCTATCATCCATCATATGTTTCATGTGGTCATATATAGATATATCCACAGGCTATCCATCATCATATGTTTCATGAGTGCCATGGGGGATTTCGGAAAGCCTTCGGCCACCGATAGGGCCACATGTCCTGGGGCGAGGGCCCTCAGGAACGGGCTCGGCGAGGCATCGGGGATCGAGCCCAAAGCCAGGCGCGAGCCACGCTAATTGCTCGTTGGGACTGCCGTAATTAAGTGGGGGTTGACTAATGTTCCCTTCGGCCCTCAAATGACCATGGGTAGCGTTTCCTACTTGGCGGGAAAAATATGACCGTTTTTGGTTGTTTCCCCCATGGTCATGCCATGTTCATCGGACCTTTTGATCAACCCCCAAGTAGAAAAATACACCATGCAGCTTCAGCGTGCCGGCATGAGAGCGTTCTCATCTCTCTCGCACGTGAAAAAGAAAACCGTGGCTTCTCCGCCACAACGGCCCCACTTCTGTCACGAATCGGAGTGTCGCTGCTTTGACGTCCTCACATTGGGGCTGGCCCGAACGCGTGCAAAGCACGCGTGGGGTTGGGGCCAGGCCGGTCTATAGACCGAGATGGGTATGGGTCAAAATTAAGCCAGGTTAGTCTTTGGTTTCATTTGCCAGGCCCGCCTGGCCCCACACCAAAAGCATTGAAAAAGCGCTTGCCGCTTTGGGATGGGAAGAGTGTGGCGCCCCCCTCTCCAGCAAGCACTCGAACTCGAACTCGCCAGCCCGCCCCTCGCAAACCAGAGCGAGGGGCGCCTTGCCAGAACCACCGGAGCAGGAGCCGAAAAACAAAAAAACCACCGCAAGCTTAGGAAAACGGCCTGTTCCTCCAAAACAGGACAGGAATCCGTGTGTGTTAAAACGAGCACCGGGTTGCGAACGGTCACGAAAAAAGTCCAGAGACCTTGACGCCTCCCTAACACCTCCCTACTCCTCAAAGCGCGCGACTCACGTAAATACGGGGAGACCCTCCGTTGCGCTCCGGCCTGACTCACCTTGAAAAGTGATACACGCCACAGCTAAACCAGAGGCGGATTCCAATGCGAAAGGAACCTGAAAGAACAAATATGGACAAGGCAACTGAAAAAAAAAACAAAAAAAAAACATGGCAACAACACGGTTGTTTCCGCGTTTTTCTTTTTGAAACTCCGCCCCTGACTCTGCTTTCAGTGACAGACTTGAGAGAGAGTCCCGTTTCGCCTGAGGCTCAGCCTCATGCGGGTCAACCTCAGCCACGAGACCAGTCCTCCCCCCCAATCCCCCCCTCCCCCCGGGAGTTGCTCCATGGGGGTGGTGGTCAAAAATCGATGGCAAGCCCAAAATTTGATTTGCCACCCAACTGCCTGGAATCGGTCCAACCTACAGGGGGTCAATCGGTCCGAAATCCAACAAGGGCTTGATTGCTTGTCCATTCCTTTCAGCCATCGCTTTCAAAAACAGATCGCCATTTCCCCGGAACTCTTCGCTTTGATACCTCTATGTGCCATCAAGACTCCTTACCTGGCCTATGGTCCATTTTTCCCTTCCTAGGAACCATGACCAAAGGGGGTCAGGGATCCTTAGTTTTTTCCATCCCTGAGGCCCCGGTCGTCTGATGGCATTTTTGTTAGCTCTTTGATGAGTTCTCTGAAACTTTGCCCTTTGGACCACAAAATATTCTAAGTTATGTTATCAATTTGTGGCACCCCAAATCGTCGGCCTCTTTAGTTCCCAACGACCGCCGATCCAAACTCGATCCCCAGGACCTGAGGCTCCGCTCTCAACTGGCCGAAACGAAGGCATGGCCTGGCTGCGGACCCGCGGACCCGCGGACCCGCAAGAAGAATCGTGGCGCGTCATCCTTCCATTTCTTTAAGGACATGTAACTGTGGCTCAAAAAAAACGATACCAACATGGAACCTTGGTAAGTGGAAACATGGACCAAAACCTGCGGTTTGCCCCTCCGGTTTAATTTTGAGCCACAGCCATGTGGCTGTAGGTCGAAAACAGGTGACCAAAACGGAACACTGATAAATGGAAGCATGGACGAGAGCCTGCCCCTGGTGATTTAATTTTGACCCATACCCATGCTTGTATTTTCCCCTGTTGGCTTGAAGGGAATCGATTTCACTGCTGGACATATTTGCTCATTGTTTCCTGACTCTGGCAAATGGATGGGGTCCATTTTTAGTCATGGAACCAAAACTGCACAGCATCCCTGTTGCCTTCTCCTTCATTGAGACAACTAAGAGCAACTGCTGGAATTGGAATGCCTTTTCTTCTTTGCACCGAGCCCAAGGGTACCAAATTCAAGAATGTGTGTCCAATAATTTGTCAGTTCTCGGGGAAGAACAAGGTACTCAATACAAGAAACGTGCTTTTCTTGTTCCCTTTTTTTCTTTTTCGGACAACACGCAAGGTCGACAAAAAAAACTTCGCCAACCCTACTCTTCACCAGGAGGAACCCTGCTGTTCTCTCCCAAACCAGGTTATTCATCATTAGTTGTCTTCTTCAAAACTCCGCAGACTGATTTGGCTGTGGGTCAAACATGGGTAGCCAACATGGGTTGCCCTGGTAAGTGGCAACATAAACCAAAACCTGCGGTCCATATCCTGACCCACAGACTTATTTGTCTACCCTAAGAATCTCACGACCCCTCCAACACCTCCGGGCCCTCCAATGGAGAACCCCGAGCCCAAGCCCCCAAAACCATCGAGACTTGGGGGAAGAGAGCGGGAAGCCCAGGCGCAAGACAAAACGACCAATGGACGCAAGCTACGTTTCCTTGGCTGGACGTTCCCAAAGCAATGCCCAAACAAATCACCAAGCTGAACCTGCAGAAAGGCAGCACGCAATAAATACTAAAGCATGAAGCAAACAATCTGAAACAATAAGGCAGCACGAAGCACTAAACCAATACCAAACCAATACCAAACCAATACTAAACCAATACTAAACCAATACCAAGCCAAGGGGCTACTTGAAGAGACCTCCGACCTCAAATTGTTTTAGCTGTGAACTCTGGGGCTTGAAAAGGGGTCCCCTCTTTAATCAGCGACCATGACTAGTCTGTCACCTGATCCGCAGTCCCCATGCCTTTCGGCTACTGAGAATATGAATGAACCGGAAGGGGATTGATTCCCTTAAAGAAAACCAAATCGGGGATGGTTTTTCTCGGGGTCATTCCACGTCTCATTCCCTTCCTGTCAAACCAGCAAGTAAAAGCTCAAAACCAAGGAAGAATCTGCGTCTCTCCGACTTGGGCTACCCTTTTTTGGGGGGTCCAACCTAAAGCGACCAAAGAAGCACTTGGCGTCTTCTCTTCCCATGAAGCCGCCTAGGAGATCTGAGGCGGTTGGTCGCGCGTCAGCATCTCTCTTCAAACCTGAGATCTCTGGGTGTCGCAGAATTCCGGATCGGCGTCGGAGAATTACTTGAATGCTGGCGGTCAACTTTTGGTGCCCACCAAAAAAAACAAAAACACAAGAAAGGGTGCCGTGGATCCATGGCCAGATCCATGGCCAGAACATGGCTACAAACCAGATTCATGGCGAGAACCTTTGCGTTGTGGCTTGCACCTTCGGTTTGGGGAACGATAACCAAGCCAAGTTTAGATCTTCCAGTGATCTCGGCCTTGGTCTCCTGTCCCCGCAAACAGGCTCGGATTCTCCTCCTTGGAATGGAATATGGTTTGACACAAAAAGCTTCTGGGTGTGTCTTCTATTTAAGGGAACCCCAAATGATGGTGGTGTTCCCTTTGGTTTCCCTTTCAAAACAGCAAACAACAGCGGTATCCTGCGAAGTGACACGCCCTAGCGCAGAGCGAGTCCATGCTTCGTCCCCAAAAAGGCCCGTCGCAGACATCTCTCGGGTCCCATTCGCGGCCGAGCGGCAGGAACTAGCAAAGTCATGTCCTGCGAGCCACAAGGGGCAAGCCCAGTTGAGTCAGAAAAACGATCAAAAAGAACAAACGGCATGAAAATGGGCTAGAACCATGTAAAGAATTATTGAGAAAAAAACGAACGGATTGAAAATGGGCTAGAACCATGCAAAGAATTATTGACTTATTGAGAAGGCGGCTGCACCCAATAATGGGTGGGACTATTCCTTACTAACCTTCATTCACCCAAATCGGTATTGATCGTGCACGTGCCCCCGAGCACCGAGGTCAAGATGAAGGATCAACACGGCCCAAAAATGTCCGCAGCGTGGCCCTTCAGCCTTGACCCAGCAGCCTCTGCTTCACTCTTCGTAAATGGGTGTGGCTCAACATTAAAGAGGCAGGGCTACGCAAGCTTGAGTCTTTGGTTCCTTTATGGTGCATCTTTTTGAGCCACAGCCAAATGTCTCCCCTAAGGTCTCCCCTAATGTGTCAGCCATTCCGGGCATCCCACCACCGAGCTCCGCTGTTACCCCAAACCCTAAGGCCCGGCGCCAGGACTGGGTTGCCGGCCCGCTTCATTCAGCGAAGCCGGGATGGCGGGGACCTTGTCGGACATCGCGATATGCCTGCCATGGCGATGAACACCTCTGCTCTTCAATCAAGTTCGTGCGTGCAGCGCATGGCACCAGAGCACCAAAGTAGAAACTGGCCAGTCCAAGAAACGGATCCTGAAACGCAACACCTCCATCTTCTGGACACAAAAGAAAGGCAACTTGATGATGCACTTCGAGTGGAGCCGATGCCCCCGGCCGAAACACACCATTCATATCCCGGGCCTCAGAGCGAACATCACCTGAGCTCTCACCGCCGAAACCCGAGACCGGAAAAAACGGGTGGCGGGTCGGCTTGGGCGCTTGACACATGCAACTTGCTTGCAACCTGTATGCCAAATCTCGGTGGCGAAATCTGCTCCCCTGCTAAAAGCGACTCACTGAAAAGAGGTTTAATACGGAAACCCCATTAGTTGGCAAAAAGTTGTTCGGTCCTAACATCCAAGCAAAATGCACCTCTAAAATGTTGGGCTTGAAGCCATTGTTTGCCCTGCTCTGACCGCTTTTGGCGAGGGATCCCATCACTGGAAACACGGGATCCCTTGATATCCTGACATGACTGTTGGTCAAAACCAATGGTACCATTTTGAGGTAGGTGAATTCACCACGCATTTTGGGCTATTCTTACACTGGGGGTGCGGGATTTTGACGCATGGCCACGTGGCTTCATTGGTCTCCAGGATGTAACATCAACACATTCGGAGCAAAGGATGGCCGTTTGGCGCCAAACATGTTGGAACCTCCGGCAAACGATGGCCTCCAGGATTGTATTCCAGCCAGTGACCTGTTGGACAACTAGATGGCCCTAAACCAAAAAAAATAGCACCCATCTACACCAGTGGAACCCATCTATTTCTCTGCAACATCACCTAAAAAGGACACCCTCTTCCGGCTGTTTGAACCGCGGCAAACACACGGCCTGCTGCCCGGGGGCGTTTTCAAATGCTCCGTTTCCCCAGGGCTTCTCGGCGGTCGCCATCTCGAGAAGCACGCAGCCGAGACTCCAAATATCTGCCTGGATCGAAACTCGCTAAGCAATCACTTGGTTGACCTTGGGTTTGGGGAGCAAAAAATGAGAGTTTTCGCAGTTAAGTGGTTGGATTTCAACCACTTTTCCACAAGAAGCAAAAGTGTAGAATGTTTGCCAACAACAACCATGTCAATCCATCAATTCACGTGCGGCTCATGCTGCATGTAACACGACCCAGTCTCCTCTTGAAGAGCAGTCCGTAAGGCCCCAAGTTTCGAGTGCATCGTGGCAATGGAGCTTCAAGTGGTCTTTCAAATCCAAATCGGCGTCACTTCACCAAGAAAATACGACAAAAAAAATGCGCTTCGGAGAAGAAAAACAACTGTCGTGTTTTGTTTGTTTATTGCTGGCGAGAGACTGTTTGTTTGGTGCTGGCGGAGAAAAAAAGGAAGAAACAACATATAAATATTGCCCTTTTTTCTATTTGTTGTTTGTTTGTTTAAGGAACGCTAACACCCAATGCCAATCCCTCGCGCCTTACGGCCATGTCCGTCCTGCTGCTGGATGACCTCCGGAGCCATCCAGGGGATGGAGCCGATGGTCGTGAAGGATGTAGTGACCTCACCCCGCAAAAACGCCACCCGAAAAAGGCTACTCTTGACTTCCTCCATTTGATGATATGTCTTTGGGACAAAAATATATATTTCCAGTAGTGATAGGTTCCCTTTGAAACCAACAGAGGAAAATGATTCTTCACCAAATGGAAGACTTGTGCGGGCGTACTAAACGCAAAGATTCGCGCCAAGAAGAAAGATGCAATTTGGAAGTGAGTTTATTTAGACATTGTGGAGGGAACGCACTCGCGGTTTGGACCCACCCGAAGAAAAGAAGAAAAAGCTCCAAGTGCGGGCTATCCGAGTCGGGACAGCAACCTCTTGAAACTTGTGCGCTTGCAAACCCTACGTTTGACCCCCCCCAAACGACCGCCAAACACTGGAGGAAGCACCGGATGATGGGCGCTACATTGTGGGACACGCAGAGAATGGTCTTCTGCCCCCGTAAGCATCAAGGCAACACCCGAAACCCTAAACTGTGATCCAAGAAAAGCTGAAAGACCACACTGAGTCGAAAAAAGAAAAGCCTCAAATCCTAAAGAAAAACTGAAAGACCACACTGCGTTGGTTTAAAAAAGAGAGAGGAAAAACAACTCAAATCCTCGAGCCCTTTTGCTCGGGCCAAAAAAACTCCGGCGCTCCAATCCAAAACCTCCAAGCCCAACTCCAGCAATGGGCGCTGGGCGGGTCAAGGCCTACATATGCTTGCCATCGGTGCGAGAGACCCCAAAGAAAGTGAAAACATCCCTCCGAGTTGGTGCCCTTTCTTTTCGGGCCTCCAAACCGGCTGCTCATTCCACCCGGACTCAAGTCATGAGGGTGAGGGATCCAAAGAACAACAAAAAAAAAAACTGATTCCTGAAGATCAAAAAAAAACAAAAAAATGTGTGTATGTATATATATATATATATATATATTAGGGGTCCAAAAACATGCCCTACCTTCGCACGCTCTCATTCCACCCAGCTCCGTGGGGTCCGGGCGCTGCTTCGCTTTGAGCAGCCAAAGTCGCTGAGCTTCACGGTGAAGTTCACGTCCACCAAGATGTTGGCCTCACCGAACTCCGAAAAAACCTCCGGTTTTGGAGGGGTCCCCAATTTTTTGTTTTTGAAACCAGAGGTCCATACGGGTCCCACCCACTCTCTGAAAAACACCTGCCAAGCAAAGTGTCGGGTTCCACTTTTCTTGTAGGCCCTGTTGGTGGGTTTGAAAGGAAAACATGGCAAACCAAGAGGAAAACACACATTTGGGGGGGGCCATACGCACAAGCACATGGGATGGTAGTTGTGCCGAGAAGGTTTGGGTTGGGACAATCGAATGAATCTAGGAACCTTCTAACAGACCCGGAGTTGAATCCGAAAAAGGGGGGGTTCAATGGCTCCTTGGCAGGTTGCTTTCCACCAACGGAGCCTCAGCTAAGTGCCCCGGCACCCTTAATGTCGCGGTGCACCACTGGCGGCTCGCGGGTGTGCAAGTAATTCAAGCCCTCGCAGGAGAGTGGGAGGTGTGACTGCCATGACTGCCGCTGAGACGAGCGTGGGATCTACAGGATGTACAAGAAATCTAGGGCTACCTTCCATGTCCATTCTAAACCCAGGAATCCGAATCTTTCTAGAAAAACCTGCAGATTTCCAGGGGAAATGGCTGCTTCTTGAAAGAACGATGCTTGCACAGAATGGAAAACCTAGAAGCGAGCGAAAGTGGCCCGATGCCCCGAGTCAATGTGCAACCCCCTAGTTCAGGAGATGACGATCGCCCGCAAAGTATGCTTGGACCAGCGAAGGCGGATTCTTAGAAGCTTCCAAGCTGCAACCCTCCGTGCAACGAGGCAGCAGTTGAGATCCCCACATTCCAAGCCAGAGCCAGAGCCTTTGTCTCGAGTCGCGCCTGCAGAACGCCGCACGTGGACCTGGTCAGTAGATCTCCCGTCAGCCTCGAGCGAAGCGTCCGAGGCTCCGCGTCCGGCGCGGCTCGAGGCGCGGCTCGAGGCTGGGGTGCCCGACGCCCCGAACTCGTGGAGTATGGAGGACATGGATCCCCCAGGCCTAAGATCCGGAGCATGACATACTGGTAGACCCTGGCTTCGGAGGATTCGCCGCAAAAAAATACCAAACAAGGGCTCAACCATGGATTCAAAGTGGTGCGAACGGAGTTTGTTTACCAGTACTGGTGAAGGGCCCACCTCTCACATCTCCCGATGTTTGGGGCGCTTCGCTCGGCCGGGGTCGCTGCACATACTCCAGGTAAATGTAAAGGTGACTCTTGGCGTACTCGAACCCCAGCGTCTCTACAATGTTGGGGTGTCTCAAGTCCTGAATCCACCCCGAAGGCTCCGACCAAGGCTTAGCGGCCAAAAAAAGGACTTAGAACCCGGTCCTTGCAAATCGTCAGCTCGCCTTCCAACCTCTCTCGATATTTCCGATCCTCATCATTCCCATCCTTAGGCCATGATTCTGCCAAGACTTTGAAATCCTGGCCTCGCTGCCTCTGTTATTGCGGGGGGTGATGGAAGCAAGCAACTCTTGCAGTGACAAAGCCAGCTTCAGCCAAGGTACATCTACGATCCCCTGCTTTACCGCAAATATCTTGCCAGTGAGGGTATCGAGAGCCTGTGAGACCACAAGACACGACGCCTGACCTCGCAGGTCCTGCCTCATGTTAAAACAAACCTCGCAAATGAATATCTTTTGGGGGGACCGCCCAAAAATGGGTGGTTTTCCGTTTGGCCTGCCTCTACAACACCAAAAATCGGTTCCGTCAAGAAAAAGACGAGCCGCCCAAGTGGCAAATCTTCAAAACCCATGGGGAAAAGGTCGCTTCAAGTCGACCGAAGCAAGCGGACTTGGCCGCCTTATAGACGCAGCCGTGAGAGCCAGTGCCAATGGATGCGCCTTTGGTCCAAAGAGGACCTGCGCGCGAATTCAATGTCCAGTCCACTCAAACTTGAATCGCCGACTTGGAGATGGGTGTATCTCTTTTTGCCTGGACCTCTCCAACATGGCTTCGGCTTCTCCTTTTCGCTTCCCTTTGGCACCCTCCCTAAAAATTTGCACCCTCAAAAAACACGACACCTATGCCTTCTTGTTGGTGCGATAGGTAGGGAATGACCGAGTCCGGGTTGGGAAAGAACTGGAAGGGGATTCCTGAATAAAGCAAATCAAATGGGTAGGCATGGCTTAGGGCTCTTTTCTCTCTTGAACCACCTAGTGAACTGCGGGGAGTTATTGAAAGCTTTACATGTGTGCACCCCCTGTGCACTGAAGGCTCATTCATTTTTGGACAGTTTTCCTCGTGGTTCCATTTCTCATTCCCTGCCTATCGAGGCAGCAAGAAAAAAAGAAACCCACATGAGCCATACTCAAAATCCGCGAAATTGGAGAGTGGCCCATGGACACTTTCCCCTTGAATAACGACACAAATGCCCATAACGGCTACTCAACTCCCGTGAGCAGTTTGGCAAGGACCCAAATTGGATGACAATGTTTGATTAATATTTACTAATGGTGAGATAAGAACCCAAGAGCCCAACCATTGTTTCTAGGTCCTCCTGAGAAAGGGCACCTAGCTGGGGGGCAGGACGACCATGCTTGGTGGTGAGATAAGAACCCAAAAACCCTAAAAACCCTAAAAACCCAAAGAACCCAAAAACTCAAGAACTCAAAAACCCTAAGAACCCTAAGAACCCAAAAACCCCAAGAACCCAAAAACCCTAAGAACCCTAAGAACCCAAAACCCCAAAAACCAAAAAACCCTAAAAACCTTAAGAACCCCAAAAACCCTAAGAGCCCAAAAACCCGAAGAACCCCAAAAACCCTAAGAACCCCAAAAACCCAAGAACCCAAAAAACCAAAGAACCCAAACAACCCAAAAACACTAAGAACCCTAAGAACCCAAAGCCCCAAGAACCCAAAAACCCTAAGAACCCTAAGAACCCTAAGAACCCAAAAACCCCGAGAACCCAAAAACCCTAAGAACCTTAAGAACCCCAAAAACCCTAAGAACCCGAAAACCGAAGAACCCCAACAACCCTAAGAACCACAAAAACCCAAGAACCCAAAAACAACCCAAGAACCCAAACAACCCAAAAACCCTAAGAACCCTAAGAACCCCAAAAACCCAAGAACCCAAAAACCCTAAGAACCCAAAGAACCCCAAAAACCCCAAGAACCATAAACCCTAAGAACCCTAAGAACCCAAAAAACCAAAGAACCCAAAACCCTAAGAACCAAAAGAACCCAAAAACCCCAAGAACCCAAAACCCTAAGAACCCTAAGAACCCAAAAACCACAAGAACCCTAAGAACCCTAAGAACCCCAAAATCCAAGAACCCAAAAACCCCAAGAACCCAAAACCACAAGAACCCTAAGAACCTAAAACCACAAGAACCCTAAGAACCCCAAAAAACCCAAGAACCTCAAGAACCAAACACCCGAAGAACCCTAAGGACCCCAACAACCCAGAAACCCAAGAACCCTAAGAACTCAAAAAAGCCAAGAACCCAAAAACCCTAAGAACGCCAAGAACTCTAAGAACCCCCCAAAAAAAAAAACCTAAGAACCCAAGAACCCAAAAACCCAAAGAACCCTAAGAACCCAAAAACTGCAAGAACCCTTAGAACCCCCCCCCCAAAAAAAAAAACCTAAGAACCCGGAGAACCCAAAAAAGCCCAAGAACCCAAAAACCCTAAGAACCCTAAGAACAACCCAAAAACAACCTAGAACCCAAAACCCTAAGAACCCAAAAACCCAAAGAACCCTAAGAACCCAAAAACCCCAAGAACCCCAAAACCCTAAGAACCCCTTCAAAAAAAAACAACAAGAATCCAAAAACCCTAAGAACCCAAAAAAAACAAGAACCCTAAGAACCCTAAGAACCCTAAGAACCCAAAAAACCCAAGAACCCTAAGAACCCAAAAAACCCAACAACCCAAAAGCCCTAAGAACCCCAAAAAACCTAAGACCCCAAAAACCCGAAGAACCCTAAGAACCCAAAAAAGAACCCTAAGAACCCCAAAAAATCCAAGAACCCAAGAACCGTAAGAATCCAAAAACCCCAAGAACCCAAAATTCCTAAGAACCCAAGAACCCCACACCCCAAGAACCCAAAAACCCCAAGAACCCCAAAAACCTTAAGAACCCGAAAACCCGAAGAACCCCAAAAGCCCTAACAAGCCAAAAAAAAACTAAGAACCCTAAGAACCCTAAGAACCCCAAGAACCTACAAACCCTGAGAACCCAAGAACCCCACACCCCAAGAAACCAAAAACCCCAAGAACCCCAAGAACCTTAAGAACCCCAAAAACCCTAAGAACCCGAAAACCCTAAGAACCCCAAAAACCCTAAGAACCCTAAGAACCCAAGAACCCCAAAAACCACCCTAAGAACCCAAAAGCCCTAAGAACCCTAAGAACCCAAAAACCCTAAGAACCCGAAAACCCAAAGAACCCGAAAACCCAAAGAACCCCCCAAAAAACCTCAGAAGCCAACCCTTGTTTTCCTGGTGGCCCGCCATCACTGAACCCCACCCGTTCCCCACCCGCACCTCTCCGCTCCGAGCAGGCGGACTCCGGCGAGGCAGGCGTCGAGCTGGGGGAGTAGCTCACGCAGCTGGGGGTCGAAGCTTCCTGGGCCCGAGCCCCCGCCCTTGGCCTTTTTGGGTGTCCCCCCAAAAGAGAAAACAAGAAGGGTAATGAGAAGATGACCGGCCATAGGCGACCTGTTGAACTGTCTCCTCTTCCGAGAAGATGACCAGCACTTGGGATATTTTCCCCCCAGCCCGCGCAAAGTTGCGGACATGTCCCGTCCGGACAAAAGGAACAAGGAAGAAAAGAGGCTGCAGACGGAAACCGGGAAAAGTTGGAAATGGCGACTGGTTTCCAGCGAAACGGTCGCCACCTTGTGGAGGTCAAGAAATCAATGGTCGAAATTTCCAAGGGGTGATGCCCCATTCTTGCCAACCATCGTTCTGTTCAAAACCGATCAAACGCTTGCTCTGGGTTTCCGGGGTCGGTTTTGCTAGAAAGATTCAGATTCCTGGAAAGATTCGGAAATGGAAGGTACCCGTTCTAAAAACTCAGAAGCCCCTGAAGATGGCGCCGAGTCGGCCCCCCATCGCCAAGTCTCTGTGGCGGTGCCAGTCCACGTTCGCTGCCTACCGGTTTCGCTTTTCCATTAGCCAAAGGCCATTGGCCAAAGGTTTGCCTTGAACATCGCCCAAGAAAAAATACCAACTTGTTTCTCTTCTTCTTCCTCTTCCTCTTCCTCTTCCTCTTCCTCTTCATTCTTCTGCTTCTTCTTCATCTTCCTCTTTCGTCTTCTTCTTCCTTCTTCTTCCGGGCTTCACGAGAAACTCGTCTCGCCCCGCGCCTGCGCACGGGCCGCCGCGCGGCGCGGGACTGGCAGCCCTCCTCGTCCCAGAAGAGCACCTGCCGCGCGGCGCCCAGTGGAGCCGCAGGCGAAACCGTGAGAGCCGAACCAAAACCCGGCTGGAATGGGCTGGAACTCAAGGCTCCCGCGATTTCCAACCTAAAAACATCACCCAAGGGACCAAAACTCGGTACTGAAATGGTCGTAATCCCAGAACCTTGTAAGGAATTGGGAAGGCGGAAATTTTCCGCAGCTATTTATGGTTGGGAGTGTCCCTTACCAACCTTCACCTTCCCGGTCTGTCTTTTGGCTGTGGCTCAACAAACCGGTACCAAACCGGAACCCTGGCTGCCAACATCTGGTTTTGCGCTTCTGGCACATCTGGCAAGTCACCATTGAGACAATGATAGCCTAAGCCATAGTCAACAACCTTTTTGGCCCATGAGCAAGTGGCTCAGTTGAGTCACAAGCAATAGGGACACTCAGCCTTCATGGGCCAAAAAGGTAAAGCTTGAAACCAACAAGAAGGGACATATTGGGACATATTGAGACCCCTGTGGGGTGATTGAAAAAATGTCGAAATCAAGTATGGGTACTAAAAATTGGCCGATCCCCGGAAGGTAAAATATGTTTTTAGAAAATAAGGCGGATATCCGCACCCATTTATGGCAAGAGGATCGTCCCTTAGCCTCCAATTACCCGGTTGTTTATGGTGACTCATTTGCGGTCGACCCCGATGGAAGCTTCTTGGCAGGGGAGCCTGTTGCAATGGACGGTGGCGACAGGGTGCATCCAAGGAGCCGTCTTCTCACGGCCGGCTTGAGATTTGGATCTCACCATCGTCTCACTAGGCTTCTTCTCCTACACATTGATATGGCTGTGGCTCAAAAAAACGGTGCCAAAATGGAACCCTTGGTACATGGAAACATGGACCAAAACCTGCAATTTGCAATGCAACCCTTAAGGAAGGGCGCGCAATTTGCAACGCAACGCCCTTAATTTAGGGTTGCGTTGCAAATTGCACGCCCTTCCCTAAGGACCCTAGCTGTTTAATTTTGAGCCACACCCATACGTGCATTGCAAGCGCTTGCAACTCGACCCGCTCGGTCCTTGCGGGTCCGTTCTGCCCGCTTCTCCGTGAGGGAGGAAGGGGTGCCTGCAACGACATCGAGCACGTGGCTCGTGCCTGGTCACTTCGTCTCTGCCAGTTGGCTTCGTCGGCCAACCCAAACTCAATCCCTTCCACGGCCGCTACGAGCAGCGGAACACTTTGAAGTGTCCAAGTTTCTGAAGAAGGCTGGTCCAATTCAGGGGGCCTCTCTCTGTACCTCTGACAAACAAAAGCCGTCTGGACGCCCGAGCTTGCCTGGCCCCGAAGCAAAACCCACCCGTCGTGTGCGCGGCGTAGGCGTCACTGTGGGCGTGGGTGTCTTGTCCGAAGTCACCGTCTTGTCCTCCTCCTGGAAAACTTGGGCAAGCAATCTCACTTGTTCAGTGACCCTAGCAAAAAAGGGGACCCTTTCTGGGGAAGACCATTTTTAGTGGGGCAGCCACCAAAAAAGAGGAAAAAGGGTGCCACTGAACAACTGAGAACAGGCAAGCAGGCAGACTGACCACAAGCAAGGAAGGGAGAAGACTGTTATTTCTGCTTGCTAGATTCCCACATCAATGGCCCAAACCAAAACCATCCCTTATCCTTGCCTTGTCCCTGCTTCTTGAAATTCCTGAAATGATAAACCGTCAGGAGTCATAACCGTTGACTCTGCCAATGAGAGAACGTACGCCATGCTATACGCGCTGATAACCTTCAGTGAGGCAAACAGAGAACATCCACTTCCGCCTCTCCGCAAAGAAGCATCTGGATTGATATCTCGGGCTTGCAAAATACCAAGCTGAGGTGTTGGCAAGTGCAAAGCCCGGTCGCAGGCCACAGGAGCCTCATTCACGGTGCCCTGCTCGGAACGCCCGGCAACAAGCACCACTTAGGGGATCGACCCTGTTCCTGCCAGGTGCTGAGATACAAAAAAGGGCCGAACTACAAAGTGCCAGACAGATCTACACTCAACTGCCAAGTCCATTTGTCCCCTCCAAACAGTCACTCTGGAAAAGCCAGCTGTACACTGGATGGGAAAAAGCTGCATTGAACCTTCACCGTCCATGCCAAGTGAAGCAATCTGTGTCACCACGTGCCAGCGCGCTCAGATGCTCCTCCCCCAGATGTGCACTCCTGGCAAGGCTGCAGTGAATTGCCCGCATGCCATGACCATGTGCCCTTGGCAGGTCTCGTCTTAGCACGTCGCGGCGAGCGAGTCTTGTGGCCCATGGTTGCACAACTGATCAAATGCCGCACAAGGTGAGGTCAATAGCCTACAGGGTGACTGGTGGACCGAGTAAAAGGAGCATTTCGGTGAAGGGGGGTGAAACGGAACCTGCGTTGATTGCATTGGAAGGTCTAAGATGGGCATGACTTGAATGATCTTTGAGTTGGTGGTTCCTTTTCAATTTCAAACCGAATTTGGAGACAAAGGACTTCCGGCAACCGAAAGCCAAGTTGTTTTCTTTCGAGCAGCCCAAACAATGCGGTGGTTTTTTGGGTTTGGCTTTCAAAGGCTTTCCCTAGACAGACCTGTAGCCTTCGCGCCAAAGAAAAACGAGCCTTTGCCACCCCATTTGGCTGTGGTTCAACAAGTATCAACACCTTGAAGTAAATGAAACAGACTAAGACCTGCGTAACCCTAGCCTTAAAAATTGAGCCAGCACCCCTCAAGGGCGGCTTTTCCATTTGTACCCGCACTCTTGCGCCATCTTGGGTACAAAAATGGAAAAGCCACCACTGGAGGGTGCTGGCACCCATCATTTTGGGCACCCTCCCCTCATTCGTGGGGGTCGCGCTCCAGTCGCTCCAGTCGTCCCAGTCCCATCCCATTTGCCTGGAGAGTAGCAGCGTGGGCAGCCGCAGCTGCTCCTTGCGCCCTGCGAAGGGCGAGCGCCCGCCGTCCAGGGACGGCACCGGGCGGTGCCGGAAGCCCCGAGGCGCCTCCAGGCGGCACCGAGCGGCGCCGAGCGGCCGGCGGCCGAAGCGTGCGAACGGGTCGGTTTGGGGTTGAACTGGGAGTTGGGTGTGGAGTTGTCTGCCATTTGCTGAAGTCCCCTGGAAAAAATGACAAAATGTCCAGTAGTGATAGATTCCCTTTAAAACCAAAGAGGGGAAAATAGAATATGTTCTTAAGCAAATGGAAGTGGTTGGTATTTGGGGTGGAGTTGGGGCGCCGCTTGTTGCAAGGAACTCGGGCGTAAAATAAGAAAGGCCAAGCCCCTTAGTGTACGCGTAAAACTGGCTGGCTGTAAGCTCTTAAGTGCCACAAAGTAGGACCAACGTGCTGCGTCAAAAACTGCACATCCCTCCCGGATGCTTCGGACGCAAAAACTTGGCCACATATGGTGGTGCAAAGAATGCTGGGAATGCAATTGCCATGTTTACCTTTTTTCAGGATGGGAAACAAAATGTGAATTCCAACACTGCATCTGCTTCCGCTAGCAATGTGTGTTCTCCCAAGATTGCTCTGGTGTTCCCTTAGTATCCCCTTGATATTCCCCGAGTACTCCCTCAGTATTCCCCTAGTATTCTCCTAGTACCCTCCAGTAGTTCCTCGGCGGTCCCCTTGTCAAAGGAAGTTTAGTAAGAAAACTTCCGTAATACGTCCCGGACGCACTCAGAAGTAAAGTCAGCCAGCACGGAGAATCGCGAAGGGTACCTCTGTTCTGCGTGCGGGTTCGCCACGGTCTCGCCACGGTCTCCACGGTTTCGGAATGTTGCCCACTGCAATGCTCGCACAGACGTGTTCGAAGGCCTATTTTGCGTGGCAGGCGCAGCACTTTGGCAACCTGAGGTGCAGATTTCGTGGCAGGCGCAGCATTTTCGCAAGGTTGAGTACTCGTGGCAGGCGCAGCACTTTCGCAAGGTCAGGTGACAGATAGATAGATAGATAGATCAGCAAGGTCGAGTACAGATTTCGTGGCAGGCGCAGCGCTTTCGTAAGGTCGAGTACAGATTGCGTGGCAGGCGCAGGACTTTCGTAAGGTCAAGTACAGATGTCGTGGCAGGCGCAGCACTTTCGCAAGGTCAGGTGCAGATAGATAGATAGATAGATAGATAGATAGAAAGATCGAATGGAAAGAGAAAGATAAAGACAGAGAGATATAGAAAGAATGAAAGAAAGAAAGAAAGAAGGAAATAAATCAAGCAAGACAGAAATGAAGAAATAAAGAAAAAAGAAAGAAAACCGTGAAAAAATAAATAAATAAAGAAAGAAATAAAAGAAAAAAGAAAAAAGAAAAAAAGAAAAGAAAGAAAGAAAGAAAGAAAGAAAGAAAGAAAGAAAGAAAGAAAGAAAGAAAGAAAGACACAAATGAGAAAGAAAGAGAGAGAGAAAGAGAGAAAGAAAGAGAAAGAGAAAGAGAAAGAGAGAGAGAGAGAGAAAGAGAAAGAGAAAGAGAAATACAAAGAAAAAATACTGAAAGAAAGAAAGAAAGAAAGAAAGAAGGAAAGAAAGAAAGAAAGAAAGAGCTAAAGAAGAAAGAAGAAATAGCGAGAAAGAGAAAAACAAGAAATAAGGAGATAGAGAAAGAAAGAAAAGAACAAGAAAAGAAAAGAAAAGGAAAGAAAGAAAAGAAAGAAAGAAAGAAATAAAGAAAGAAGAAATAAAGAGAAAGATAAATAAAAAGAAATAAAGATGTAGAGAAAGAAAGAAAAGACAAAGAAAGAAAGCAAGAAAGAAAGAAAGACAGAAATAATGAAAGAAAGACAGAAAGACAGAAAGACAGAAAGAGAGAAAGAAAGAAAGAAAGAAAAAGACAGAGACAAAGAAAGAGCGCAACCAAAAAAAAAAAGCCAAGCTCTTCCTATAGGCACTCTTCTCGCTTTAGAAACTTCCGTCCACCGGCTTCGCCGGCTCTACTGGTATTCCCATAATATTCCCAAGAACTGTTTTGGTATACCCCTAGTATTCTCTCGGAAACACACACAAAAATATACATACAGACAAAAGGTATTGCGTATGACCAAAGATTTCCCTTCAGGACTTTGTCCTTTGTTCCTCTTTTGTTGGTTTCCTTCAAGGCTTTCTTGGGTTATTGAACATGGTAGTTCTTTGGGCATGATTAAAATATGTCCCTCAAAACTCGGTTTGTCTTGCTGGTGTTCTTCGAGGTTCCTTTTTTTGGAAACGGGAACCCTTGCCGGCCCTTCAAGATTGCTCAAACACGTGCACGTGAGGAAGGCTCTGTCTTCGTGCTCACCAAAATTGTCTTCATGCTCACTTAAGTCACTTTTGCAGGATTCCCCACAACAAGGAATCTGCGTGTGGGAGAGCTACATCTTGGTCGGCACCCCAACACCACATGAAGTACAAGAGTACAAGGGCATCAAGCCGCCTTCGATTTATGATTTGGGAGATCGCCCGAATTATAAAAGCTGGCTAAACTCCAGCCAAGCGTCTCCGGCATTCGCAGTGTGCGGCTGATCTTTCGGGGAGGCGACATCAAGGTCTGCAAACCTCGAGCGACCAGTTGACGGCGACACTTGGGTGCGTCTGTGCTCGAAGCTTGCCTTTTTTTGGTGGCTTTAAAGGGACACCAAAAGGACACTCCGCTATTTGGGGTGTCTGCCCATTTCAACCGGAGCTTCCTCGGGGTCCGTCTCGAAGCTGAAACAAAATCCATGCTGCAAGGCATCAAGTTTGGGGGCATCATGACAAAATTGATGGGTCGCTGGAGTGACGACTTGAGAATACCTCGCAGCCAGTTGCTAACTGCACAGCTATGAGTCAAAACTAGGCAACACCAGGAATTGGACCGCAGGTTTTAGTCCTTGCTTCCATTTACCAGGGCAAGCCATTTCGGGTACCAAAATTTTGACAACCACGGCCATCTCTTCAGTGAATCAGGGTGCTTCAGCGGCTCTGGCGCACGCCGCGTCGGCATAGAGCTAGAGCGCCTCGTCACATGGATTAAAAAAAAGAAGAAAAACAGATCGCCAGGTTGTCATCTTTTTTCCCAGACACTTTGCCCGAAAAAAGATCGGTCACTGGGGCCAAACAAAACTCGGTGGCTTTCTGCTCCCCTGATAAAAGTGACTAACTTTTAGTGGTTTAATACGGAAAACCCATTCGTTGGCAAAATGCTAAAGTCCTAACATCCCTTGGCAAAATGCACCAAAGATTAGATGCTTTCTCCAAGAGTCCCACAAAGGATTTTGCCCGCCCCCCCAAGAGCTCACCTTTGCCTCCCAAATTGCCAAGCAAAATGCGCCAAACAAACGACACGATCAGGTTCCGAAGTTGTTTCTGCCAGCCAAGCTGCAGCATGGCCAACCGCTGTTGCCTCAAATTCTGCGAGACACAGATTTGCCGCCGACATATGCGGACTGCGGGCAAAAAAACAAAAACTAGTCCAAGCGAGTCAGGATGACATCCAAACCGGTCAGTACGCAAAAATGGTTGATCCATGTCCAGAATGTGAAGAATTCACCCGGCGGGTATTTCGGCACCCAAGGATTCTCCGAGTCTCCCAAGCTTCTACCCCGAAGCGGTTGAGCGAGCGAACGATAAGCTCTCCAGTCCGGGCCGGGGTGCCAGGACCCAATCTTGCGCGCCCAGCTTTTCGGGCGCGAAAGAGAAACCGAGGTGTCGAGTGTGAGCTGCTGGTTGGGGCCAACAAGGGTGGGACCTTTGGATCTGTTTTCTTCTTTTCTTGATTTTTCCGGCTCGGAAGATCTGAATAACTCTCAGGCTCGCTTCACTCGAGCCTGGGCTAAAAAGCGGGAGCGAGCGAAAAAACTTGATTCGAGTCTCAGCATGCTCCAAGTGGAGTCCCGCTGCAAGTCTTCCAGGAGGGAAGGCTGACGGAAGTCACAGTCTGCTCAGATGCCCAGTGGATTTCCATGGGAAAAAAAGGGCATCCTTTTTTGGTTGGTTGACTTTAAAGGGGAACCCTTCCAAAAAAAAGAACAAAAGGGCACCACTGGGCAACTGGGTCTGACAACTGCCAGTCAAGGCAGTGCAACCTAAGCCACCCACAGCATCACACAGCAATTCTTGCAACTACTGCCTGCCTTCCCGAACTTATTCACGCATGAATATGTGTCCTTTTCGGGGCGACCCTTTTTTAATAGGTCCTTGGAGTCTCCATGACCCTTTTAAAATGCGTCCATGACCCCAGTTTGGGTAACGGCCCCATTTTTCAAGGGTGGAGACTCCAAGTCTACAGATTTGGCTGTGGCTCAAAAAGCCGGTACCAAAATGGGTTGCCCTGGTAAGTGGAAACATGGACCAAAACCTGCGGTTTGCCCCCCCGGCTTAATTTTGAGCCACTGCCATTTACAGAAATTTACCAAGGAGGGAGGTGTCCTTCCGTCTTTGACACAGCCTTCGGCTCAACCATTTGGAGCATCATATTCGGATCCTGGCCCTTCAGGTGCAGATTGGACCACTGGTATGGGGGTGTTACCTTTTTGAAGCTGGTTTCTGTTGTCTTTTAAAAGAAACTTGATTCGTTGAAGGTCTTTTTTGAAAGCTGTGTAGATGATCTTCCAAGGGGAAAAAAGGAGGTCCGCCAAGGTCCCCTAAAACCTTGGGGGGTCCCCGCGATGTCCCCTTCGAAAGCTGCGCTTGACGGCGAGCCCGAGTCTCCCATGGCCTCCAGCCGCCGCTCCTGGAAATGAGTTTCGCGAGCGGAAAGCTTCGTAGCCGAAGGCCCAAGTTGGTTGGGCGCTGAAATTTTGTATGGGTCAAAATTGGTCCCCACCAGACCGCAGGGTTTAGTCCACGTGTCCATTTACGAGGGTTCCGTTTGTGGTACCTACTTCTTGACCCGCCATGTGGGTTTCTGTGCACCCAGGTGAATCTGTTGAGGTCATTCAGACCTGGCAAGATGAGAAGTGGTCCAAGGTCAAGAGTCAGCCGTGAAGAATGGGCTAGCTGAAAGTGCCCCGAGGCAAATATGAGGGACCGTGTCCAAGGGACAAATCCGTACCCTTCATGACCCTACCCATTAGTTGGCCTGAACCACCTGCTTTTTCTTGCTGCATGCGAGGATACACCCCAGACCTCCTCTCCAATGGTTGCCAGCCGGCTTCCTGCTGAAGCTTCGTGGTTGGCATTGATGGATTCAAGGTGGGATTAGAGCCCGTTTCGGGGCTGGTTTGGCTTTACAGAGAAATCGATTCACTGTCCATTGCTCCTACTCATGATCTCACACCACGTGCTCAGCTAAAACAAAACGATCAAGAAAAAACATGGGTAGCTTCATGGTCCACGAAGCAATGCAATGTCCAAGCTGAACCCCTCGCCTTTTCGCTTCGAGACCCGTCCTTGCCCCCGAAGCACACCGAGATGCTGCCGGAGCTGGGGCCTGCGTCCAGCTCGAGCGATAAAATTCCTGGCCCCCGGGAAATGGGCCGGGGAAGGGATTCCGCGGCGCCGTGGCGATTTTTGTTGAATTTTGTTTTTGGGGGGGGGAGGTTGGGCACCCCGAAAGTGGGTGGGTTGTTGTGTTTTTCTTTTTGTTTTTTTGGTTTTGTTACGCAAGGGAAGCCAAAGGGAAGACCGAAGCCAGTTTGGGGTCCCCTCTGAAAGAAAACCACCACTTTGGGGGGTGCCCCAAAAGAAAAAGACCACCAGTTTGGGGGTCCCCTAAAAGAAAACCACCATTTGATTTTGGGGGGTCCCCTAAAAGAGGAAAGCCACGAATTTCGGAAGGCCAACACGCTCAAAGACGTCAAGGATGGCCTGAGCGTGCTCCCAAATTTGCCCGCTATGATGAGTGTCACTCAGACATTTGCTCAAGGATACCCAAAGTACCCTTCGCCAGCATCAGTTCCGGCTCCGGTCCAGCAACGCCCAGGATCTGGGCGAGAAACTAGTCCAAAAGAACCGCAAGTATATCATGAGAAATCTGCGCATCTCACTGGAAACAAGCACCCTAGAAAATCCGAAGCTGACAAATCCGAAGCTGACAGAGTACTGGTTGGCAAGTATTGTGGCTCTCTTCTTCAACCGCCGAATCTGACACAAGGATTTGGGAAGACCACTGCAATCTGGCCTGTTCACATCTGGAAAGAGGCTGGGCAGCCATTCTCATAAGACTAGGTCCTCCAGTAGAGAGGTTAGAATAAGGGTGCCATGTTTTTTTTCTTTTTCTGTAGTCTATTTTAGTAGGTGAACCGAATCTCCCCACCAAAAAAAGTTGGTGAGAAAGGGCACCTGGCTGGGGGACCTAGAAGAGATGTGTCCAGGTGCGTTTGTGTCCACTTTCACGGATGGAACGGCGAACAACGGGCCCCTCGCCCTCGCCCTCGCCTTGCAGAGCCCCAGTCTCCGCAGCTCGCAGCAGGCTGAGAACTGCCTCCCGCCGGCGCTGCGAAAGCGCATCGACGGAAGGCGGCAGGATGTCAACTCTTTGACAAGAGTTGTGGATGATGATGCTGATGATCATGACCATAATCATGACCATAATCATGACCATGACCTGGATCAGGACCAGGACCACCACCCACCACCACCACCACCACCACCACCACCACCACCACCACCACCACCACCACCACCACCACCACCACCACCACCACCACCACAGTGAGTGCTGCTCAATGCCCAGAAGCAGCAGGACCCTCGAGCCTTCCAGAAGCAGCAGGACAAGGACGGGTCCAGCCTTGCAACACGACAACTGCTGGGTGCCAACGCCCGGGAAATCGAATCGCCACGGGCGTCCTTCTGATTTCGGTTTGGGGGGAGGGGGTGTGGTTCCTTTAACCCGATGATTTGGGGGCTGACTTGGGGGCTGACTTTGGCAACTGCCTGGTTGCCCCTTTCTTGATATAAGTACTCTCGGTTGCTTTTTGCTCCCCTGCTAAAAGTTTAAGTTTTAGCGGTTTAACGGAAAACCCATTAGTTGGCAAAAAGATATTCAGTCCTAACATCCAAGCAAAATGCACCAAAGGGGTGGTTTCTTTGGTTGGGGTGTTGCCTCACCTGCAGCAAAGGAGCAACGCCTTTTCGTGGATGGAGCCATAGCCCACGGAGGACTGGGTGACCTTAGGCTCGAATTCGAGTCTGGTCATATTTCTGGGGGTTGATTCCCCATTCTTTTCAACCATTGTTCTTTTCAAGAACCAGCCGTGTTTTTTTGGTGTTTTTTTTCCCCCCGGGGTTTCTGGAGGGTTTCTAGAAGGAAGGATCCCTGGAAAGAATGGGGAAGGTTCTCCTAGAATATTTGCCATTTCTGAGCTAGCCGAGCGACGAGCGGAGCACTCAAACCCTTGTCAAGTCTGAAACACGTCATTGTCACAAGGATGCATGTCAATGTCAAATGGGTGTTGTTGCCCAAAATAGATGGTAACCCCAAAATGGAACCTTGGTAAATGGAACCTGGGGACCAACAGTTTGCAGTCCATATCCTGGTGACTCTTGACCCATCCCCAGATGGCCAGTGTGCGGAGCTTGGACCGGTCACCCCCAGGCCTTGGTCCCTTAAAGAAAACAGCCGGCAAGGGATGGTTTCTCTTGGAGTCAGACTCCATTTCTCATTGCTTGACTGTTTTCAAGAGGCTTGTGGGTTACAGAGTAACAAGTTCTATCACATCGTGTATCCCAAGTACTAAAGACAAGTAAGTGTATGTATAAAACACATTTAAGCAAACGTTCGCCGAAAAAGAACTTGTTTAAAGACATGTTTTTTTTTCTTGGGGTCATTCCATTTCTTGTTGCCTATCGCACCAGCAAGCAAAAGCAACCCCCAATTCAAAGAATGGCAACAAACCCAATTTGGACGATGACACCTAGGGGTCAACCAAAACCCCTATTAAGAGAATGGTTGACCTTGGGACCCAATTTGGATGACCATGCTTGGGGAAACAATGGTTATATGAACCCAACCGTTCTTTTCATGGTGGGCCTGAACCCCTCGACCACCATCCGGGATCCGACCCCAAGCCTGGGTCCTGCACTAGAGAGCATAGAATACGGGCGCATTCCTTTCTTCTGTGGTCCATTGTAGTAGGGGAACCTTCCCCCAAAAAAAGTTGGGTGAGAAAAAAATGGCACCTGGCTGCTTCACTTCCGGGCCCCGCGGCCGTCTGGTCCCACTTGGTGCGGCGGTTCCGCTTCGAGGGCCGCAGGTGGGTCTGCAAGGACACCTCTGCTCGCCGCGCGGGTGACGCGCGCGGATCGCGCGGAGGACTCGCGGCTCGACCAGATGTGGCTGGGAACCTTTTGGCTGGGGATAGGGCAGCCCAGGTGTGAGGTCACCATTTTTTTCCCCGAAGGTGAACAAAAAGGCGCTGGCTGCTGGGCCGCCGGGTTCACGCGCTGTTGAGGTTCACAGGAGATTCGGGGCTCGAAACCAATGGGATCCCCTACTTTTGGGGAAGGTGCACCACTCATTTTAGAACCTATTTTAGGATTGGGATGTTCACTGGGGGTACGGGCTTTTGACCCATGGCCATGTGAGATCAGCCGGGGACGGCGGTTTTTGAGGCTCCCCAAGGCTTTTGATGGATATCGGAGCTCGAGACCCCGAAAGCAAGTGGGGTGTGGCATGGGGACCCCAGGTGTGTACCAAGCCCAAGGAGCCTTAGGGCTGCCAACCTTTTCTGGGAATTCACCTTGCTTACTGCTGGAAAAACCATCAAACCA